ATCCCGGCCCATACCAGGTCCATGTCTCATGACAAGCCCAACCCGTACCAGCCGTGGCTCATGCTAAGCCCGGCCAATACCAGGTCCATGTCTCATGACAAGCCCAACCTGTGTTAGTCGTGACTCATGCCAAGCCCGGCCTACACCGATACCAGGTCCACGACCCCTCCTGGTATCCGCGCTGCCCAACACTACAGCGCCCCTCACCACATTCTCATCTAGCATCTAGAAACGCCCAACAAGTCCAAACAATATTCGAACTTGTTACTAGTTTCCGCTAGAACATCACCTTCACTATAATAAGATTCATCAGCATGTACCACGTCCGTAGCTTTCTGCTTCTTCAACTCCTTCCAATCAGCCTCTTCCAGATCAGATGGCTTTTCCGCCTTCAAGGTTTTTAGAAGACCTTGTTGTGCCAACAAATCTTTTACCCTAAATTGCCATAACCCAAAATTCTCTGTACCATCAAACTTTGATACCTCGAATTTTGTACTTGAACGGACCATCTCAACAGTGCTCTGATACTAATTTGTTGAGATTAACAAGAACAAAAAATAATAATGGCAAAAAGGGTAAAGAAGACAAGATTTACGTGGTTCGACAAAATGCCTACATCCACGGGAGTGAAACGATTCTCTTATTCATTGTGATGGTGATAGTGGTGACACAACCCTTTAGGGATACAACCAATATATTTATAGGCATCTAATCCTTATACAATAGGTCTACTCGTTTCACTCCTACTCCTAGTATGAGACAAACACTTATTCCTAATCCATATATGAGACAAACTCAACAATCTCCACCTTGGCGAATATGTTCTTTAGGAGAAAAGATAACTCAACAAATTTCCACCTTGACGAATATGCTCTTTAGGAGAAAAGACTTATCTCACCATCTCCATCTTCACATATATGCCCTTTAGGAGAAAAGACTTCTCCACCTTCGCAAATATGTCCTTTAGGAGAAAAAAGATAACTCAACAAATCTCCACCTTAGCAAATATGTCCCTTAGGAGAAAAGACTTATCTCACCATCTCCACCTTCACAATTATGCCCCTTAAGAGAAAAAACTTATCTCACATATACACATGGGTAGGAACAACCATGCTCATCCCAACTAGCCAGCCACATGCATACGCAGCATCAAACGTTACCCAGTGCATGTACACGAACCGCTTTGTTTCAAGCCATTCGCCCCTCAGCCGTCGACCTGTTATACTGCCGCGACTCATGCTAACTGCCCCGTTCAGCTGACTTCCTGCATCCGGCCCATACCAGGTCCATATCCCCTCCTGGTATCCACGCTGCCCCAACACAACAGCGCCCCTGCAAAGTCACACTAAACCTGTGTGCCTTGCCCAATGCTCCACTAACCAGCAATTGCCACTGGTTAGCAACACGCACCACGCAGCATCAAACGTTTCCCCGTGCATGTTCACGAATCGCTACATTCTGAAGCGTCCGCCCATACCAGCCGTGACTCCTGCCAAGCGCGGCTCATACCAGGTCCATGTCTCATGACAAGCCCAACCCATACCAGCCGTGACTCATGCCAAGCCCGACCCATGCCAGTGCCATACTGGCCCATACCAATACCAGCCGTGACTCGTGACAAGCTCGACCCATACCAGCCGTGACTCATGCCAAAAGCCCAGCCCATACTAGCTGTGACTCATGACAAGCCCAGCCCATACCGAGCCAATATTGACCCATATTGATACCAGCCGAGACTAATGACAAGCCCAGCCCATACCAGGTCCGCGACCCCTGGTATCCGCGCTGCCCAACACCACAGCGCCCGTCACCACCTTCTCATCTAGCATCTAGAAACGCCCAACAAGTCCAAACAATGTTCGAACTTGTTACTAGTTGCCGCTAGAACATCACCTTCACTATAATAAGAGCCATCAGCATGTACCACGTCCGTAGCTTCCTGCTTCTTCAACTCCTTCCAATCAGGCTCTTTCAGATTTGCTGGATTTTCCGCCCTCAAGGTTTTCAGAAGGCCCTGATATGCCAACAAATCCTTTATCCTAGACCGCCATAACCCAAAATTCCTTATACCATCAAACTTTGATACCTTGAATTTTGTACTTGAACTAGCCATCTCAACTATACTCTGATACCAATTTGTTGAGATTAACAAGAACAAGAAACAATAATAATGGCAAAAAAGGGTAAATAAGAGCAAGATTTACGTGGTTCGGCAAAGTGCCTACATCCACGGGAGTGAAATAATTCTCGTATTCATAGTGATGGTGATAGTGGTGACCCACAACCAATATATTTATAGGCATCCAATCCCTATACAATAGGTCTACCCGTTTCACTCCTACTCCTAGTATGAGACAAACACTTATTCCTAATCCATATATGAGACAAACTCAACAGTTTCACAATGTAAAGTGACCATGATCTATGGTATAACAATTGTGTTTAAAATCTGTGAGCCAATTATTGAACTTACAAATCTCATATAGTTTTGGGGCAGAGGCTTGGTTAAATCTCGCCAATAAATTATGGACCACATTCTCAACAGTAATAGAAATTATTAAATTTTATAGTATCAAGTGGCAAGTTTATGAAACTCTATCCTACGATTGTTGTTTCTAACTAATTCTAAAATTTAAATTTCTATTTAACACTAAAAAGTACATTATCTTGCAATAATATTAAGGGTGTGTTTGGTTGGTGGGTTTTGCCCATAGGAATGGGTATGAAAATGATTGTTGTTGTTTGGTTGATAGATTTTTAGAATACTACTATGGGTTTCGAATACCCCATCAATTGAAAAACTCATACCCAAATAAAATAAGGGTTTCATTCCCTTATTCATTCTCAAACACTACTATTAGTAACCATTCTCATTCCACCCTACTACCAAACATGTTAAATACTTTCATCAAACCCCATTACCATTACCAAGTATTTGATACCCATTCCGATTCCGATTCCGATTCCTATGTGCGAACCAAACACACCCTAAATAAGTTTTACAAATGAAGTACTTAGAAAAAAATTACAAATCAAGTTGATTAATCAAAATCTCTTCTCAATTAAAAACTCTGTAAAATTTCATTAAAGATATTTTTAGTTCTGTTATGATGTCATCCTAACTTTAGGATTGCAATCTACTCCTTTCAATTGTATAAATTATTTGTTATTGCTTCATAAATTCACATAATATGTATTTGATTATTTATTAAGACTTTTTACTATATTAGTTATTATTGTGTTCAACAAATTACAAATGCATTCATATATGTTTAAACTATTCAATTTATTTTAGTATCCATTTATTAATCTTTGCATATTAATTTTTATTTAAATTTAAAACTTTTTAAATTTGACAGACCCCGGCAAGACTTGCGGGCTTAAGACAAGGCGGGCGGCACATTTTAGGCCCATATTATAGCCCGCCCCCACCATATGGTGGGTTTTGGCAAGCCCCATCTCGCCGGTTCATTTCGACAACTCTTTCCCAAACTAAACAAGAGATAGGAGAAAATCAAGCTGTTGAGATCGACACAACTGCTCCATCCATTGGAGCAACTGTTCAATTTGCACTTATTATTAGACCATCTGCACAAGCACCTCAAGCCACCATTGTTGAGATTGGTGATGATCAATCTGAAGGAACATATGTTGTAATTCCTAAATTCAGCACTGCCCCCAATCCCAAAAGAGCTTAATTAACTTGGATTGATGCTTAAATGATTTGCCAATTCTCAAGGGAGATCAAGTGAACAAAGAAGACCAGCCTATACCACTTATATTACAACCCTATCAAGGAGATTATGGACAGAATAGACGCAACAGAGGATGAAGTCTTTGAGAATATAGGGTATACGCTATTGGACACAAATGAAATCGATATTACTATCTTCACACACTTGAGGTAGTTGTTTGACAACTACAAGGTTCTATCACATTGTTCAGATACCAATCACTCCCAACAATTTCCTCCTCCCAAGACCAACCACTCTTAAATGTTATTGCTAGGACTCGAATCTGTGACCTGACTCCGATACCACTTGTTAGGGTAAGCTGTTACCACCCATGCCAAAAATTATAAGGATGTAGAGAAAAAAAATTGAACAAATTACAAATCTGATAATCTGAAAATATGACCACATTTAGGGTCCGTTTGGAAACCCGTAAAATAATTTCTGAAAAATGTTTTTCGAGTTTTCAGTGTTTTCCTACTTTCCAAACGGACCTTTAAAAATGAGAGAATATTGGGTGATGTTCTTCTTCATCAGTCAAACCCAGTGGCAGAAGCCAGGAGTTTACTGCAACTGCTCTGAAGGACCCTCATCACCACACGTTCCAGTATAGGAATCCACTTTTCAAGGTTTTATGTTCTCTCCTCAATGGATGGCCACCTCTGCATTTTCCTATTATTTCTTAGAGTTTAGGAATAAGAATGTAATAAGTTTTAGTTCTTCATTTGCTCCCCCATTTCTTTCTGCTCACAATTTTTTAATTGCACTGAGATAGCTGGTGCCCTTTTATTTGTGAAACTTTTTGCTGGAATATGGACAAAGGCCAGCACTACCTAGGGGCTCCACTCACTTGTAATGGGTGGGACAACTGGTCTAGAGATTTAAGACTGCTGCATATCCAAAGCTAAAGAGCGAATCTTTGACGTTTGGTTAAGGATGGTTGAGTCTCTTCCATTCAACCAAACCCCAAGTTAGCTAGGAGTGGAAATAGGCTGAGCCAAACTTGGCCTGCTATAGAAATCTAAAGCATGGGCTTGGGCAGGGGACGAAAGCCTACAGCTGACCATTAAAAAGGCTTCAAAATAGGTCCTAAAAAGGCTTTGAGCCTATTTAAGGCCTAATGTTAAAGGCTTTTAAAGCATACATGTAAAAAATATAGGTGCATTTTGGTTTGCTTTTCATGCTTTTGAAACCAATCTCCGCACCATGACCATCATTCCCATTGCAGAAATAGAACAACTTTTTATTAAAAAAAAAAAAAAAAATTACCTTTAGCATCTCTTCTGAATCATCATTATAAGCATGTGTATTAGTCCAGCAACAGAATTTTGTTCCTCCTTGAAATCTTCCTAGCTATCGGTCAAAACAGTGCCAACATAAAATCAAGAAGTCATTTATTCAGAGCAACTAATCAGAATATTAACATTACAAATTGGTGTTGGAAGGCATAAATGAACTGGGACTGATTTGAGAAAAGTGCTATAAATAGCATTGATAGGAAAATCAAGGAATTCAATTTGAAGAAATAATTAATGTGCACCTCATTCTGTAGTACTTTCATCCAAAACTTTGATGAGCTCCTATATCAATTCAAACAAAACCTCAACCTGAAAATGGATGACAAATTCAACTGCTATGACATTCGTCAAAAGCAACTTAAACAAAAGTAAATCACTGACAGTACCTTGTCAGCGGTAGACACACATGTTTCCCTATTCATAATGTTTTCAATTATAATTTTTGCCATAATTTTATTTGTTCCAGCATCAAGGTGATCCATAACTCGTGGACAGTTAGAGAGTGTTAGAGTTGTGACAATATCACCGTCCGAGGCAGCAGCAGCCCCCGCCGCCACCGTCCGATGCGGCAGCAGCCTCCGCCGCCACAGATCAGACAGCAGCAGACTACACCAAAGGCCGCCACTGCTACAAGAGTACAGTAGTACACGGCTACACCACTGCTACACTAGAAGAGTAAGAACCACTAACCTCACCATCGATCACTGCCTCCTCGCTGATCGGTCGCCGCCTCGCCGCAGACGGTGGAGTCCCGCAAAATTGCCTCGCAGAGTCGCAGTCCAGCCCCCAGTAACCGCCGAATACCAAATTGGGGAACGGGAATTAGTGTTGAAGTATTATATTAACTAATAAAATATAATACATATATTTATAAATTAACACGCTAAGCTTTTAATAAGTTTGGGCCAATTTAATATAATAGGTTTTTAAATAGGTTTAAACGTCTTCTATTTAAACAGGTGAGTCCAGTCCGGGCTATAGGCCCTTTATAAGAATCTGGCCTACTCCCTCCTAGGGGCAAATTATGAGGTCCATCCGAATGCACAATGCATGGTGTATACTGCAGTTTCATTTCAACACAATTATATTATCATTTTGATATAATTACAGTTTTGATGGACAATATACATTCAAATATGTGAAATTATTATTCAGTTTCATTTTGTATACACTACAATTTCATTTCAACATAACTACAGTTTCATTTCAATTCAATTGCAGTTTCATTTGATAATATAATAAAAATAATACGTGAGACAGTATCAGTTTAGATACACTATAGTGTCTGTCGGTTTATGGACCATGGTCCACAATATAATTGTGGCCTTCCTAAGGCAAATTATATTGTCGATCGCGGTCCACAATGTTTGTGATCCAGGCATCAAAACTGTGTCGTTTCTTTTAATGAAAAGGAACATCATATGTTCTGCGCCGTTCCGTGACATCCGCAAAAAAAGTAACTTTAATTGTATAACATATTCAGTTTCATTTTGTATACACTACAGTTTCATTTCAACACAACTACAGTTTCATTTCGATACAACTACAGTTTCATTTTGATATAACTACAGTTTCATTCGATATTATACACTCAAATATGTGAAACTGTTATTCAATTTCATTTTATATACACTATAGTTTCATTACAACACAACTACATTATCATTTCGATATAACTACAGTTTCATTGCACAATATACACTCAAATATGTGAAATGTTATTCAGTTTCATTTTATATACACTGAAGTTTCATTTCATCACAACTACAGTATCATTTTTGATATAACTACAGTTTCGCTGGACAATATACACTCAAATATGTGAAATTGTTATTCAGTTTCATTTCAACACAACTGCAGTTTCATTTCAATTCAATTGCAGTTTCATTTGATAATAATAAAAATAATACGTGAGGCAGTGTCAGTTTAGATACACTGTAGTTTCATTTGGTAATTAATACACCAAAAATACGCGCTCCGTTAAGCTGTAACGGCAGCTGTTTATTTACTTAAAGAAACGACGCCGTATTAGGACCGCGGTCCACAGTATAATTGATGCCTTCCTAATTAAGACAAACTATTCTATGGATCCAGGTTCAAAAATACACAATTTATATACTGAATGTTCAATATTTAGATACTGAAAGTTCACAATTTGAATTGTGAACATTCAGTATGTAAATTGTGAACATTCAACATATAAATTGTGTATTTTGACTTTGGTCTACCTTACAATGTGGACCCGGATCCATGGCATGACTATTGCCTTCCTAAAGTTAGCTATTAACTTTAGTTGATAATATGTAAAATGTCTTTTGAGAACATGAATTTATTTTATAGCAATGTCTTATTAAATATTAATAATTATATATAAACGAAAAGTATTTTTTAGTAATAATATTTGTATGAGCTATATTTGTGTGAGATCGTCTTATAAATCTTAAGATAAGTGTTTGTTACTTATGATAGAAATCGTAGTACTTATTACAAAAATTTTAATACCACTTTAAAATAAATAAATTGTTACTTATAATATATATTGTAATATTTATATGTAAAATTATGATACTATTTAGGGTAAAACGATTGTTATTAATGATAAATATTGTAATATATACTTATAACTGACATTGTGATACTTACAAAGTATAACTTTAATGTAAATATTATAATATTTATATGTGAAATGTTACTTATGAAAGAAATCGTATATTGTATAAAATTTAATACCAATTTGAATTAAAAATAAATCAATTACTTATTATAGATATTGTAATACTTGTATGTGAAATTGTGATACTATTAAGTGTAAAATTGATGATTTCTAATAATGATACATATTGTAATACTTACAATTGAAATTGTAATACTTTCACACCCATTTGTTTATAACTTGAACCGTCTCGTTAATAAAGATATGTAAGACGGTCTCACACAAGATTTTGCCGTAAATTTTAATCCATGAAATGCTTGTTTTTCTGATCTAAGTTAGAAAATCTTTGGCAGCTTAAATAATTATTCCGAAGTTTATCTGAACCATTTTAATTTCTATTTAAATCATTCTGTATGCAAACTATTTGATTAATGTCGATATGGATGTTTTTTTTATTATTTTTCAATTCTTGACAGAAAATCGTGACCTCATCTTTCTCAAAAATAAAATGTTCAAACTATTGCACCATATTGCAATTGTTGTGCGAGATTTATAGTTTTACTCATTCACAATCCACACGTTGTGGTAACTCACGTTATACATAAACTAACTTTAATTTGAATATAAACAAGCAAACCTTTATAGTAATTAGCTTGACTTTATTTTCAATTATGATACTATATAACCCAATATCAACACCACAATGTTTTGAAAGTTATTGAATTATTGTACTCCTCTGGGGCTACATTGGCCCGCCTTTCCTTCATGCATAAACGATCCCACGCACAAAAAAAAAAAAAAAAAAAAAAAAAAACCAGAAATTGTGTAACCTACCTGCGGCTCCTAATTCTCTATCTACTAGTCATCATTTTGTGAGAATCAAGTTAACATCTCGTAATTTTTTATTTTGGCGCACCCAACTTGTCCCGTTCTTACACGAGCAAAACTTGATCAGTTATGTCGATGGTACCATCATCTGTCCGCCTGCTACGCTGCCATCTTCGGTTGGTGAGGTTTCCTCCGCCGCTGCTATACCGAACCCAGCCTACGCCGTTTGGATACGACAGAATTGTGTAATTAATCAATTACTGGAATCCTAATCGTTTAGATATTTGTTTGATGCTTATTGTCATGTATGTTTTCAAATGGAAAAAATCTTCCCTATTGTTTTCCAACTTAGAAGTTGGAAATTTTGAAAGATGAAAAACAAAAATTCTCATGAACACAATAGAAAGTTGGCCCATTTTATAGGTAAGTCAAGTCCACCTTGCATTATGAGGCAATTTATATCATGGATCAGGATCTACATAGTATTATAGCAATCGTTATACCCTGCACCACGGCGCGCGTAGCACTGTGCGCCCCGCGCCTTCCAAAACGACGTAGTTTTGGTAAGTTATGTAGGGAGTTTGACGCGATTATGTGTATTTGTTTATATAACATGTGTATTTGTTTATACAATTATGTACATTTTTTATACAATCATGAACATTTTTTTTATACAATTATGTACATCTGAAACAGGAAATTTATGTGTATTATGTTAAGAGTTCATGTTTTTTATGTTAAAAGTTTATGTATATTATGTATTATGTTAGATTATATGTATTATCTTTTAAAAAAATGTATGTGTATTTTGTTATACAATTATGTACATTCATGTATACAATTATGTGTATTCTAGTATAAAATTATGTACATTTTTGAACCTGAGATTTTTTTTAAAAAAGAAAATTAACCGTCAATACAGGGTAGCGAATTTTTTTTTTTTTTTTTAAAATCTGAAACGACGTCGTTTTGCATCAGGGCGCACAATGCAATGCGCGCCCTGGTGCAGGATATAACTTCAGAGTTGATGTTTATTATGTTAAAAGACACGTTAAATTTGGCTTGTGAATGGCAGTTTTTAGGCTTTGAGTCGAGTAACACCTTAACATATGTATGTGTCTTGTGTTATAAAATTATGTACCTTATGAGTATGAATTTTGTACTTTGTCGTTTCAATTCAAGGTCTATAATACGGTGCGCAATGCGTCGTTTTGAATTTTGTACGACGTCGTTACTTGACTCAAAGCCTAAAAACTCCCATTCACAAGCCAAATTTATGCCAAGATTCTAGTAACCCCAAATGAATGAAAAATTAATTTGTAATTTGAGACAAGAGAACAACAATACTCTTGATATATGATACAAGTTAAAATTAAAATCTAGAGGGATGGAGGGGGTGAATGCTAGACTTTTATATATTTAAAAAAATTTCACACAAAGTATGCATAGTGAAAATATTTTACTTGCTTTAATTTGTTTGAGTGTTAGTTTACACAAGTGTTGGCTAAGTTAAAAATCATTTTGAAGTTTATTTACGTACGTGTATGAATCTTTCAAACATAACTTGTCGAATACAAATGCACGAGTAGAGATAGAAATCTTAAAATGCTTTTGTGAGTATTGTGATCCCCTAATCCAATCTTCTCTTTATCACCAAACAAAAATATGCGAATGTATTTTGACAACTAAATCCACAGTGACTACAACCCTTTCACATAGATTTTTGACAAAGTCCCTCTATTATTTGACTCTTCACAAGGATCTTCAATTCAACCAAGTTCTCTTCTCTATTACTCACAAGAATCATCTACATTATGATTCCCTTTTTTGTGTACCAACTCATTTGTTCACAAGGATTAGCCATAGTTTATCCTTGCAATAATACTTGGTTACTAACCACTATTTTTATCTTGAGAACAATATTCTCAACTCTCAGGTTACGTTGTTTTTATTTTACTTTAAGCAATGTTTGAAGGTAAACTGGTTAGACACTTTGAACGAACTTAGATGATTCTTTTCAGTTTAGAAAGACGTTTCTTTTCAATTCTCTGATTTTTTTTTTTTTTTTTTTGGATATCAAATCTACTAATCATTGAACTTTCTCTTCCAATTCTGACTTATGGCCCATTTTGATATTTTATCATTTAACTTTTCTAATAAGTAAACTCTTATATTTCACTATCTTTTATGTTGACTTAATTAATTCTTTTGTTAGCAAACCTTGTTTTGCTTAGCTAAGTATTCTGATGAATTGAAGCTAGCTAGAACAAAGGTTAAAAAAAAATGTCACTCTTTCTTTATATTACCTCATCTCTTCTAAATGCTTGATTCCTCTACTAAAGCAAGTTTTCTAATTTTGTGTAAGTAATATAATGATATATCTTACAAAAGAACATTCCAAGCTTTAATTTGTTGACTATTTAGTAGACATGCACGATATATGTTTTTAAACTATATCTTATCATTTGTGTAAAGAATGATATATCTTACACAAGAATCTCCCAACCTTTGCTTAATTTCCTTCACCGTATGGAACATTATGCATTGTTTTGTAAAACTTTTTTAAGAATTGAGCAATTGTCAATTTTCCTTTGGAACAACTAGCTAAGGTGATTGTTTTAATGAGTATGTATCTCAAATACTCTCCTCATATCAAGTTATGCTTATGAATCATTAAAGCATGCATGCTAATGATTCAACAAAGAGTGTGGTTTAATTTAAGAGTCAAAGACCTTCATAATGACCAAATTTAGTTCCATAATATAGGAACTTTTCTTCTAAGGACATTAGCCTCATTCCTCATAACAACTTTTCTACCAACACTCTATTTAATAGATCCACAATATTAATTATCAAATGATCATGATTAATAAATCTCTGTGGCAATACTTGATTAATAAAGGTTTACATTTCATAGCATTATTGTATGGTCGTTTGTTATATTTACTTTCAAGGGGTTCTTGTTTACAACTTGTAATTTGATCCTATCTCAAACAAATATCCAGCAACTTGTAGCTACTTTCACAAAACATATAAAAAGGACCTCATAGGCTCAACCCTAGTCATTAGGACCATACAATAACATAGTCGTTTGTTAAATTTTGAATCAAAATATGTAAATCATATATATTTTGATACAAACACATCTGCCTCACCAAATTAAATTGCTCCAGAAGATGCATCACTTTCACTACTGCTTTTCCCCCCTTTTACGTTAAAAATTCTCTTAATGAGTTTTGTACAGAGAAACACTACATCTGGTTTGTACCCACTCTTCACCATACATTCAAGAACATACAAAGTTCCCGGCTCTACCAGAACTATGTAGCACCCTCATAAAATTGGCTTCTTTGAAACCATTACACTGTATTTTGGTATTCCTATAATCAATAGAAACCTTTAAATTGGTTACAAACTAACACGCAAACGCTCATAAAATTGGTTCATGGGCTGCCACTCCCTCAATTAAATAAAACTAACACACAAACAGTAAGCTTTTTCTAACACAAAAAGTACGGAAGCTTCAGGATCATCCGAACATCCCTTGCCATAGTTGTTGTTGTTGCAATGGGACGGTAAACCTGCCGAATAAAGGCTAGTATTTTGTCTACCACTTCTCTCCCGAATACTCGATGGTGCGTGTATGCTGAACACCGGAGCTGTGGGAGGACTATTTTGCTTAGAAACCTACATCCCATCAACGTAGGCAGATATTCAGTTAAAGCTTAACTGAATATCCTGAGTTGCCTAACAGATTAAGCCACTAACTGACTTAATCTTCCACTTGCACCACAACCACTTAATTAATACAATATATTATAATATATTATATTAGGGAAAATACTTACATTTATAAAATAACAATCTACTGAACAAATTAAAAATCGGGGATTACACACACACAAAAATACCAGAGCAAACTATTACTATTACTATTACAATTATTATTACTATTACTATTACTACATGTCATCTGAGCACAAAGTGCTTGACAATTAATGTTAACGTTAAATAAACTAATTACAAAATTGACAAATATATGCTCTAGTAAAATGGATGGATAATTTTTATTTTTATTTTTAAAAAAATCTCATTTAGCAAAGCTTTGTACGTAGTAAAATGGATGGATAACTTTTTTTTTTTTTTTTAAGTATTACTTATCAAGGGTTTGTTCTAGCTTTTAAAAAATATTTTTACAAATTCTTCTTATAAATAATATGACATGTTAATAATAATATAGCCTGATATGGAAAAAATACCCTACTTGGAAAAAAGATATATAAAATTGCCTACTTTGTTAAATAAGATTTCATCTTAGGACTAGTTAGGAGTGGACTAAAAGGCTCATCATAGGACTAGTTAGGATTCTTTTTCTGGCCTCCTTCCTCTTCTTCCTCCATGAGGTCTCCTTTACATGAATGAATTAAAGTATTCATGAGTGATTATAGAGTGTCAAATTTTTGGTAACTCATCTTGTCGGTCATGTTGCGTTCGAGGTTGCTATTCACGTAGCTGTGTACTATACGCCTCTGATCTAGAGATAACATGAAATGGACGAACATGTTATTAATGTGAAGCACGTAGCTAGGGCCTACAACTTAATTTCTCCACTGTCTAGCCCATCTCTCACCGTGAATGTGTGAAATCAATTGTTATACCATGGAGTAGGTTACATTTTTTACTGTAAATGAATTAATACCATCTACGATCTTTTGAGTATAGTAGTTTTGCGACGTTTAGTGCTAACCTTTCAAACTAATTGCCCATGATCATTCGACTTTTAAATTGTTATTATCATCCATGGTTCAAGTTAACCATATACGGTCGTCCTTCAACTATTAAATTTTAACCACTCATGGTCTTTCCAAGAAAACCACGGCCAGTTAAGTTTTGAAAGTTGAAAGATCACGGGTGATTAAATTGGATCATGAATTATAACAATTTGATATGTTCGATATCTTCATTTGGCGCAGAAAGGGGATGCCAAACTTGTCATCTTGATCCATAGTATAATTTACTTGTGCGAAATTGTGTACTCCATTTTAATATTGGCAAGAAATTCACGAAATAAAAATTAATAATTTTTTTACCATACTTTTCTAAAACTGATTCCCTAATCCTGTATTAGACACATGTAGTTTTTTGGTTTTCTATAAAGAAATTATATATATTAACCCTGTATTCAATATATAACAAATGTATTATTTTATTTTATAAACTCAAAACGGGTAATATTTAAATTTTAACTCTGAACTTTAACAGGGCGTTTGATTGAATATAATTGAGTTGTAATTCATCGAAGGCCTCAATTATATTGTTTGATCGGAGGGAATTGCTGGGATAGAGACGTACATTGAAACTGTTAAAATTGCTGGGATGGTGGTTTGGCGTTGGAAATTGTTGTTTTGCCTACAAGTTGGAGTTGCTCTTATAACACTAGATGTTCATTTCTCCCCCTAAATGTCAGCATATACCGGCCATTAGGGTTATACTTTTTCCTGCTAGCATTAGCTTAACTCCTTAACCTGCTCTCTCTTTTCACTATCCTCCATCTCCTCAATATTTCTAGCCTGCATTTTTTTTATGAGGTTGCTTGGCTTTTTGGGTGTTAAACCAGTAAGATTTAATTCTTGTTGTGTTTCTGGTTACCACTAAATTTTACTCCGTAAATTAATTCTTTGGCTTGGCTGTGCTTCTATACGGGAAATAATAAATCAACATAAATGCTTGTCAGGTATGACCGTATGAGGTATCCGCATTCCCACTGGTCTGACTTGACGATAAAAAACGACCAACTCACTCAATATAGTACGGAGTAGTTGTCACTTGTCAAGCTGAGATGGGTTACATTACACCAATTAGAATTATATATCTATCAACTCAAATGTGACCCATCTTTCGACTGCACCATTAGGTATGCAAAAACGCACTAATAGTGTTACAAACGCATCACAACAAAATGCATGCATTAATGCACCACAAAATGCATTATTAAGTACACAAAAATGCACCACACAGTAATCAAAAACATATATGGTGCATCTTTTTTGGGTGTGTAGTGCGTTTTGTGGTGTATTTCTGCATTTCCTAACACTATTAATGCGTTTTTACATACTTAATGGTGCAGCCACACCGGCCACACGTTAAGTCAGGCCATATATATATATATATATATATATATATATATATATATATATATATATAGCTTGGATTTTGCACATGGTTGTTCTACTGCCTAGGTTTCAAAACACTCAAAAACAAAAACAAAAAATAAAAAATTTCTGAAATTTATTTTTAAATTTGCGCATATCTCTTTTATCCATTTTGAATTTTGGTGACACCAAAAATACTATGTGTACCCTCATTTTTACTCCACACACAAAATGACATTTATATTGAAACCCACATGAAAAAATAGTTTGTACAGGTCAATACATAAGAGAGTAAAATTGAGGGAGTAAGATTTGAGAGTACATATAGATACTGACATGTATGTATGAATTTATATATGAATATGTGTTTATTTATTATGATAAAATAGTTATTCCTGGTAATATCGGCCAGCCTCTCGAATCAGTTGTTCTTCTACAAAAGAGCATAGTTCATCCCTGAAATAAATAAAAGAAACTATACCAAACTATAGAATATATACCCTCTTTCTTCTCAGTAGAGCACTCTTTGGTTTGTTGGCTACTCTTTAATTACAGTTTTTGAGTCATCAGTCCTTGAAAGCATGGAGACGACCTACTTACATGGCTAAGCCAAAGTAAACTGAGACAGACATCTCCATGAAGCTCATCAGTTTCACAGATTCACTGAGAATCTAATTAATCTGATCTACTTTATTGGCATCTATCCTTGGATCGGAGCTGCTACTGCTAGGAGTAGGTACGCGTTTCGATCACTGATAGTATTTCCCTTATATATATATATAAAGATCATAAGAACTATTTCTCACATGAGAACTGCCGACAAATGTGAGACTGTGAACAAATCTAGGTTTTCTATTTTGAGTATGTATATGTCTTCTTCTTTTTTTTTTTTTTTTTTTTTTTTTTTTTTTGGTGAAAAGTATGTATATGACTATGATTTTTCTATTTTTTCATATTTATTTACATTTTTATTTACAAATAGGTGCTTGGTAATTTTGATTTGTATTTTGAAGGTTGGAATGATTATACGTGAATGTTATCACTACTGGAAATTATGGAATTTCCGACCACTTAAATGTGATCTTAAATCAATTTGATACCAAAAAGTGGTCGGAAATAGCAACAAAGGTTTTTTCGGATACCAAAAGTGGTCGGAACAAGGCTTTCGACTTGATTTAAGATCACTTTCAGAGGGTCGGAAATTCCATAATTTCCAGTAGTGTATGTTTGATTTTAGGAGTAGATTTATGATAAATTAGGTTTTCTTTACTGATGTACTCACCTTCATGTGTGGTTCTTTGTCTTTCTTCTTCTGCTTTTTTTTTTTTTAATAGCTATGGGCTCATGTTGATTTTTGTGTTTTTTTTAATTATCTATTGTTTGAGTATAATATTGTCTATATTTGTCATGGACCTATGTGTAGTTTTCGCGCCCAATGTGCGAGCATACATTGAGGCTTCCATAGATGTGCATTTGCACTGTCAGTTTCTCGCGACTAGGTTTTCGTCGTATGTGTCCACCTCATCATATATAGCTTAGTGTGCACTTTGTGTTCATGTGATCTGCGTGTGTATTGTAAATTTGGCCTCTGTGTACAATAGTACATATGCATGTGTTAATTATTTGTTTGTGGTGTAGTTTGTATTTAATGATGTGTTTGTGTACTAGTCAAGTATGTAAATCAATTATGTAAATCAATTGGAGTTTTTTTTTTTTTTTTAATCCAATCCTAATTTTCTTTGCTTGTGATAGTGGTGGTGCAGGATGTTGTATTTCAATATCAACGTGTGCACAATGCAATATTGTATAAGAGCGTAGCCTGCGTAAATATGATATGATCCGTATGATCTTTTTAGATGTAAGACTGAGATTATTGGTTCTTAATTTTCTCCTAAGCACTTGTTCTCATTTGTTTCATATATATATATATATATATATATATATATATATATATATATATATATATATATATATTACATTTGAGAGAGAGAGGAGATGAATCCGATAAAACTTACACTCAAATTTAATATAATTTGCATCTGATGATATTTAAAGTGTATTCAGTAGGATTAAACATGTGCATATCATAGAATCCACTTGATATTGTTATGAGTGCATTCAAGGTTTTAGATAATTATGAAATTATCATTTTGTTTTTTTGTTTAGAGTTATTTATCTTTCCCATTGACGGTTAGAATTAACTATCAATTTTCTTTTGGGTGTCGATTTTCACTTAAGCATTATCTTATATATGTTTGTAGGGGGTCAAGATGGTGGGTGAGAGAAAGATTCGACATTTGACATATATTCTAAAGAAAATACTTCTTACCCGTCTTAAATTTCTACTCCCATATTTCACTTCCTGATTTATTTGACTTTCATTCATTGAGTATTCATCAATTAGCTAACTCACCCCTAATTAAAAAGAAAAGTTAGTAACCAACCAATTGCTCATTTTCTCATTTTCTAATGTTAGAAACCAACCAGCTACTTATAACTATAGGTGCACTTAGTATTGATGCTCAGTGTAAATTTTACTTGCACCTATAATACATTTTACATACACTTGTAATAGATTTTACTTGCACTTCGATGTTCAATTATTTATGAAAATATCACCGCGTTTTTTAATTCATTAGATCTGGACACGTGTCGCGCGCTGATTCGTTCGCACATTAAGCATTAAACTGACGCACTTTAAGTACACAACACATGCACATTAAGCACACAAACAAAACACCTTAAACACAAACTCACGCATCTTAAGCACAAACCTCACACACCTTAAGCACAAAACACACGCACGTTAAGTTTCAACAACTACTCACATTAAGCACAAAACTTAAGCACCTTAAGTTTCAACAACTACTCACATTAAGCACAAAACTCACGCACCTTAAGCACAAGACTCACGCACCTTAAGCACAAAACTCACGCACCTTAAGCACAAGACTCATGCACCTTAAACACAAAACTCACGCACCTTAAATATAAGACTCATGCACATTACTCACCGCATAACTGCACGGGAGACACTTACATTAGATACAACTAAAAAGGTTTACCATTTGTACCGAGTATTCTGTGCCACATTGTTTTGCTTTTTGCATGCACTTTTGGTTGTATTACTGGTGTAAGAGGTATGTATTTCGATCGTGCAAAGGAGCTCTTTGTGAGGATGATCCTAAGGATAATTCGGGTTCTTTTTTCACAAGTGACAATTTTTTTTGGGCTAGCTCCATGCCGAGTAAACGGGGATTAGTCGGGTGGACTCGAAACACCTCTTTTTTTTTACACCCAAAAACAAAAATGGAAAAATATATAATTTGGCATGCATGCATGCATATCATTGTTCAACCATAATAATGAATTGAATATAATTCTGTTGAATTGGTTGCAGACTAATTTGAAGTGTAAGCTCAGCTCTGATCTATTTCGTTAAGTCCGATATGATGTCACAGTCCTACGGTGTTCGCGGCACTTTCCAATTTCCCGGACCTCGAATCATCAAACACAGGGATGACGGAGCAGTTTCTCGCTTCCGAAGTGGCTTATTTTATGCATATGGTCCCTTGTATGATCAGGAAGAGATCAACGCAGCAGAGGTACCTGGAGAAGCTAACCCAGAGGCAGAGGCCAATCTTTCAGCAGAGGTACCGGGAGAAGCTAACCGAGAGGCAGAGGCCAAGCTACGTAGATTTATACATTTTCGTCAAAGGATAACCCAAGTGGCTTGGATGTATTTTGTAAAACAGACGAGACTCGATCGAGATCTCATGAACAAGATAAAAGACATTCAAATTGGCCCGGAACAACAGATTATGTCAGAAAGGAGTTTTGACCTGGAGAGACAAGCCCCCGAAGGGGAAGGGGAAGGAAATCCGAATGGGACAAGTGGTGACCATCAAAATGCCACAGAACAAATAGGGAGGGAAGATGAGGAGAAAATGATAAAGGGTTACTACATGAGTAAAATTGGAGAGGTTGTAAAAGAAGCAAGAAGTGTTTATGATGGGACAAATATTGATGAGATGCGAGAAAGCAGGTTTAAATTTATGATGATAAGTCATGGCTGCTTATTCCTACTGCAAATGTTGGTATTTCTTGGATTAGGAGTTAATCAACTTAAAGCCGGCCTTAGTGATCTCTCTGATGACCTTGATATCCTATTTGACAGCCATGAAGACATTGAAAAAAGGGAAATTATGTTCACTAAGAGCGCAGTGTTTCCTGGCAACCAAATTCCACTGGTCGTGCTCTATAAACTAATCGAGGACAGTTCTTGCTTCAAGAAGCTGGTTGTGTTAAATGAGAATTGGAAAAAGCCCTCTTCTTCAGATGTACTCAAAAGTGTTCTATATGACCTTATCTTGGACCCTGTGCTCAAAAAGAGTGAGTTGAATTCCAGGCCGCCGCAAGCTACAGACATACTTCATGGCCTCCACTCAAGATTGGTTGGGAACCTTACGTTGATTCAGAAGCCCGTCCGCAATGACAATTTGGACCCGCAGCGTGATGATGATGATAATCAAAGGATCCCGATGAGTAGTAGTGCCACAGAAATGTATTCTAAAGGTATGCACTTTAAAGGAGTAAGCGGCTTGGCAATTAGAGAGATTAACATCAAGGGTAATGTGTTCACCAAGAAGGTCCTTCACTTGCCTGTCTTCACTTTCAATAAGATGACCAAGGACTTGTACAAAGGCCTTAAAGATTACGAGAATCACCAAGCTCCGATGGAAAAGGTAGTAAACGACTATCTGGGGTTTCTGGGAGATATTGTTCGATGTGACCAAGATGTTGAGCTGTTACAACGGAAGGGAGTGATTGAAGTGGATAATAATAGAGTAGCTGATGATGTGGTCGATTATCTGAGGGAGGTAGCCGGCGGCGCACCGCAAAGCTGCACCACCCATCATCTTCTAACGGTGAAACTCGATATCACTCACCATCATCTCAAGCCATGGTATTATAAATACCTCAGCGGCGCTCTGTTTTCAATTACCTTATCAATCTTATCAGTTACCTTCGGTATCCTTGGATATTTCTTAGAGAGATACAGAAACAAATAATCATTAATCTCTCTCATCTGCTGTGATGTACAAGTCCCTTTTGTCACGGGATCTATCCCTCTAGATAAATGTGCAACTCCATTTACTTTAAACTCCCGTCTAAACAGTTAGAACAGCCTTCAGTACGTCCTCCGATCAATTGTTACCATTTTATTGCCGCATGTCATAATATAGGTGATGTGGTTAATACAGTCTGGTTAATACCGTCGTTCCCACAAATATGGATGAATAATAGATTGAATCGTATATAGAACCTTAGATCGTTTGTTGTTTGGTCTAAGAGCATCAGATGGTCTCTTCTCATCTGCAATTCAATCTCGGACAATTCTAACACATTCAAAACATTAACAACACATCATAGACAAGTAATAAATCACTTAATAGCTCAAACACTTCAAAAATCTAACATTTCAACTCATTTCTACCTATAAAACAAAGGCTTCAAAGAGCCAAAAATCAAGATGGGAGTCCATGGGGTTGTACATTTTGTTGTTTGCACTCTTTAGCTTGGATCTCTTCTTCCATAGATGAGAAATGGGGGAGAACCCACTACTTTTGAGGCCAAAAAGCCATGGTGGCAGAGAGAAGGGGTGAGGAGCATCCACAAAGGTTGGGATATTACTCTGCCCAAGAAAAAAAAAATTAATGATGGAAGAGAGAGAACCAATAGAGAAAATGAATTACTCTGACATGCTTATTTTTTATATATATTTTTTAAATCAGTTTTGATTTTTTTTCTCCCCTCCCACATTATTCTCTTTCCTACTCACACTTACATTCTCCCCCTAATATCCTCAACTGATAAGGATGCTCTAAGTTATGGAGTACGAGAAAAGGAGACAGTGGGTCAGAGGATTCGAGCTTTATATAGATATATGGAAAATACCAAAAGCCCCCTTTCAAGCATTTAATGCTGTATTTATAAGAGACCAAATGGAAACACATGCGGGTCTATCGACAAGTGTGACACGTGAAGCTCATGCACAAGGAAAGGTCACAGGCTTTGTACGTTGATTCCTCCACGTGTACTGAGGTTCCTAACACCCTGTTACGATCGGATTTGACTAAGGGAAAAAAATGCTCAGCTTTCTAAGTAAAGAAGGTTGAGAGGTTTGTCCGACCTAAGATGCTTTGGAATTTGGATGATGCCAGACGGCGAGGAAATACTGCTACTGACTAAGCCCTTGTTTGGCCCTCACTATATGAGGTGGGGATCTTTAAGCCACTAGTACAGAATTTACCATAAAAATATAATAATTGCGTCTGTTGTTTAAACATTTGACGAGGGTCGCAATTTTATAATTAAAAGTTCACAATTAAATTATTTTTTATTTAAAAAAAAAATAAAATGGACTATGCGTCAGTTGTTGGAGAACAACCGCCGCATATAGTCCACAGTATTTCTATTATAGAAAAAATGATACTTTTTCCCCTAAGTTATATACTTATAGCACTTTTTCCCCTCAATATTTAAGTAGCTATTTTTTCTCCTGAAATATTAAATAGACATATTTACCCTTAAAATAAATATTTCATTTATTTTTCTTCTCCAACAAATTATGACAACAATTTGGTTCAAACCAAACAGACACTATAACAATCAAACGAAATATTTTAATTATAATTTAGAATCGAAAACCGATATTTAGAGTTTAATAAAATCGCGAACCGGAACGGCTAGTTCATGTTCCGAACTGAAAAAATAAAATACATTTATTGAATTATTGTTGAATTTAGACTATTTTTTAAATAAAAAATAAAATTTTAAAATAAAGACGGTTCAAAATTGCGAACTGGATCCAAAACCGCGGTTCACGGTTCAGGATCCAGTTTTTTCGATTCATAATTTTAATAAACTGAAATCCAAATACTGGGTTCTAGATCTGAATCATAACCAGAAACTTTTAATTCAATTACTATAGTGTCCGGTTCAATTCGAATCGAACCGTTGTCATCCTACGTATACACAATAATTTGTTGGAGAAGAAAAATAAATAAAATGTTTATTTTAAAGGTAGAAATGTCAATTTAATATATCAGGGAGAAAAACAGTCACTTTTAAAATAATTGAGGGGGCTAATGTGCTTACAGGAATAATTCAGGGGAAGAAGTGCTATAAGTATATATAACTCAAGGGAAAAAAAGTATCATTTTCCCTTTATTATATTAAGAACTATATGCGTTTACTAATATTTGCTGCGAGGAAATTTTAATTTTGATCATATAACTATAGGGGTCTTGTTAATTTTAGTCCTAGACTTTTAAAAGTGTCAATTTAGTACCTTAATTATGTCATTTTTGTCGATTTTGATCACTCCGCCCAAATTACCAGCCAAATTTCACCGAAAAATTTTAATAGTTAAAATAATGAGGATATTTTGGTCATTTCACGCCTCTTTTTTGCTTCTCTGACGAGTCCATCCATTTCTCTCTCGTTTTCGGCGTTCTTTCTCCATGTAAGCCCTATCTTTAATATCATCAAGCCTCATTCCCTCATCATCTTAGTTCATTGCATTCGCCGAAAACGAAAGTGAAAGGGATGGACTCGCCTGGGAGAAGAAGAAAAGATACGTGAAATGACCAAAATACTCTCATTATTTTAATAATTAAAATTTTCTGATAAAATTTGGCCAATAATTTACATAGTTAAGATATTAAATTGACACTTTTAAAAATCAAGAACTAGATAATTAGGACTTAGGATTTTTTTTAACAATCAATCACATCAAAAAATGGAAGCGCAGCAGCTGCCTTCGTCGGTCTCTCCGGCCGCTTCGTTCGCCATTCTCTCCGCTTCATTCGTTCCAAAAATCGAATTGCTTCCATTCTCCACCAAATCCCCTCGCCTCCGGCGCCATTATTCCTCTCCTCCACTTCAAGGTCGCCGTTCGCACAGCCCCTCCGCCCTTCGCTGTCTTCTCTCTTCGGTCGCACAGCTCCGCGCTCCTCGCCCCTCGCCGCAAGGTTGCCGGTCGCCTTTCGCACAGCCCCCTTCGCCCTTCGCCGTCATCTCTTCGGTCACCGCCGGTCGCACAACGCCCTGTTAATAGCACCATATCCACCTTGATAGGGAAACTGGGGATCAGTCAAAATCTAATTTATTATTATTACTAGCATTTTGTACGCGCGATGCGCGAAAACCTATGCCCAATATTAAAATATTGTTAAGTAACAAAATTTAAAAAATTAGTTAAAATTATGTTTCACAATTTCTTAAAGTGATGATATTTTAAATTATCATATATTTGAATATAGTGATCAAAGCAATATATATATATATATATATATATATATATATATATATATATATATATATATATAATTTAATATTCATATAAATATTTAATTAAAATATAATTTATAATTAAATTAATTGTTATATAATAATTTTAATAAAATGATAACTAAAAATAGAAAAAAGATATGATAGATGTAGGTGTATGGTAAGATTGGTGGATATATTAAATACTAACGGTGTTATAATGGTGTAAGGGTGATTTTGTCCAATACAAATCAAATGTACAACAATTAAAGCAAAATGTATATATTTATTAGCATATAAAAAAGGGACAAAAATCAAGGGTATAACTTGTATTGACACTTATTATGTTTTTAGATTATTATTATTATTACCAATTTACCATGCTCATATTCTCCTAGCACAGGGTCCGGTGGAGAGGAGCTTGGTTCCGGCGGTCATGGTGTAACTCAGATCAATTTCTCTACCTCAGGTGAATGACTATGTTAGTTGGTGTTCTTGGATTTGAGGAAACATTATTGATGAGTGAGTGTAGAGAGTGAGAGAGACCGAGGAGAGGGAGAGATAGACCCGGTTCTTCACTGTACTACTACATGTACGGAAGTAGACACTAAGAAAAGAAGACACCACTAATTTCCAATTGTCTTCCACTGAGAAAAGGAGTGCTCCCTTGGAAGGCAAATTAACAATAAGAGGAAATTTATGGTCCTATGACTATAACGGTCTTGTAATTTTAGTCTTTGAGTTTTAAAAGTGTCAATTTAGTACTTTAATTATGTAATTTTTGTCAATTTTGATCACTCCGACTAAATTGTCGGCCAAATTTCGCTAGAAAATTTTAATTGTTAAAATAATAAGGGTATTTTGATCATTTCAAGTCTCTTTTCTTGGCAAATCCATCCCTTCAATTCCTTTCCCGTTTCCAGCGAATGCAATGAACTAAGATGATAGGGAAATGAGGCTTAGTGATATTAAAGATAGGTTTACAGGGAGAAAGAACGCAGGAAACGAGAGAGAAAGGGATGGACTCGCTGGAGAAGAAGAAAAGAGGCGTGAAACGATATGATCAAAATATCCTCATTATTTTAATTATTAAAATTTTTCGGTGAAATTTGACCGGAATGACCAAAATTAAGTTAGGGAAAATTGTCAAATAGGCCCTCGAACTTTAGCTTAAAAGTCAATTAGGCCCCTAAACTTTTTAAAGGTGCAATTACACGCGTCAACAATTCATTTAAGTGCAATGAAGCCCAAAAACAAATTAATGACCTGCTATCACAGGTCATTAGGGTTCAGGCCACTTTCCGGCCAATTTTCCAGCAAAAAAAAAAAAAAAAAAAAAGTGATCGGCGAAATTTCTGACAAAAAGTGACCGGCGAAATTTTCGGCAAATCTGGATCGGTTGCTGGTCACTTTTTTTTTTTTGCCGAAAAATTCGCCGGAAGGTGGCCTGAACCCTAATGACCTGTGATAGCAGGTCATTAACTTGTTTTTGGGCTTCATTGCACCTAAATGAATTGTTGATGGGTGTAATTACACCTTTAAAAAGTTTAGGGACCTAATTGACTTTTAAGCTAAAGTTCGAGGGCCTATTTGACCCTTTTCCCATTAAGTTAATTAACAAAAATTGTATAGTTAAGATACTAAATTGACACTTTTAAAAGTCAATTAAGGACTAAAATTAACAAGACTCTTATAGTCATATGACCAAAATTGAAATTTCCTCTTAACAATAATGAGAGGTGAGAATAAGGGGAAGAAAGATTCAATTTGAGTGGTTTTTTTTTTTTTTTTTTTTTTTTCTAGCATTGGGGACTATGACAGAATGTAAATTGTGATAACGTGAGACAAGCTTTACAAGAGCATACAAGCAATTTTATGTGAATTCTTCAATTCATATCATGAGCACTCCAAAGACTCTCACGAGTTCTAGTAGATCAAGATTCTTAAAAAGTCATTTTAGTTGGAAACCTCAACTAAGTTTTGTAAAGAGAAAATGTATCAAATTTGGTGTAGTATTATGAAAATCTATTTTTGAAGATGCACTGCGCTAAGGCAATAAAAGTACATTGAAGCACACCAGGAGACTAAATCAAATCAAGACTTCATTTTTGGTGAAAATGGCAACTGTTAAGTATATATGTGGTTAATACTGTTTTGTGAGGCGAGAGTCGGTCTTAACGCGCAGCTGTTCGGCTCCCAAAGCCTTCGCGAGTCGGATGCCGCCCAGCACGACCTCATATTCGACCTCGTTGTTGGAAGCCTTGAATCGGTATTCCAGGGCATAGTACAACCGAAAATCTTTTGGGGTGATTAGCATGACTCCACCCCCACAATGTTGACTACTCGTTGCTGATCTTGAGATTGATTGACGCCGACTCCCCGTCACGAGTCTAATCACTTAGTCCAGAGTACACAAAGTAGACGGAGCCGGCGCAATGTGGACTCGTCGGTCAGTATAGAGAGAATGGGGTCGGCGAGAAAATGAAGTCGGGAGGCAGGCATGCCGTCTTCATCCGTTCAAATGCCAAAGCAGCAAGCTGGCTGAGAGGAACAAGAGAGGCCCTCAATGTGCTCTGCTAATCGGCTTTTTGCGCCGAGTCCGCCATCACCGACTCTTCTTCCTCGACCTTCCACCGGCGTCGCTCCTCCTTCTGCCTCTGCCTTGTTGCAGCGTAGTTCCCGATCAGCCTGTTTAAAGAACCAGTGGTCTCGACATCCGTGGAGACCTTTAATTAATTCCGACTTCGACTCCGCAACCGACCGCGAGATGGCCGACTCCTGTCGCCCTTGTCATGGTAATCATTGAACGAGATTAGAGCCACGTACGCCTTTAATCACGCGACCTTGATAGTTTGATTCGCTTGCCGACTATCTGTTTATTTGGGAGGAATTCATCTTCATCGTTGCGCCCGTGCTGGCTTGGAATTTAATCGCCACCGACTCCGACTACTTCGCAACTGACTCCATCGACACGGGCGAAAACTTGGTTCAGACGTCTATGGTGACCGCCTCCTTGGCTGCCGACTGCTTCACCGCTTCTGAATTTCTGTTTTCTGAATTTTTTCAACGTATGAGCTCTTTTGGACATCAACATGCAGCTTACTTTGCTTGATTCTCCTTCTGCCATCTTTTTGGCATATTGTTCTCCGTGAACCTTCTCAGGTTAACGTCTTCCGGTTAGCTCAGAGAAAGAGGTAAACACGACCTTTTGTCAGATCCCCACATACGGCGCCAGTGTTGGTTTTAGGATTTTTGGGCCCAGGGAGGTCCAACACAACCATGGTTGGTGGATTCACCTTTCAAACAAAGCTATGGACGCTTTCAAGGGAAATGACTATAAATCTTAATATCTTTCTTGTATTTTTCTTGAGCAATTCAACTTGGCTGCCTCTTACATTCTCAAAGGGCCCCTTTTATAGTGGGTCACCCTTGTCAATTTTAAATGCATACATTAAAGTGTCATAATGTGGCTTATTAAGCCTAGAGGCCGTTGGGCTGCCGTTACTTGGCCTCCCAATGGCTTGTTTGATCGAGCTTTGAAGGGGCTCTTAAATCCCGCTATCTTGTTGAGCCAACCTCTGCTCGAGTCGACCTCCTCTCGCGCCGACCTCCTGGACTCGGCTATCTCAATCTCTGGGCTTTCCTTCCTTTCTATTGGAGTCGATCTTTCGTAAGCCCAATCTCCATCCCTTCCTATCTTCTTTCCTCTTTGGGCCTTAGGCCCATTGGGTCCGCACCCCATCAACGCCAATTAATAGGTTTTGTGTTGTAAAAACTATGTTTATAGTACTATCTAGTAAAGATGTTTCCCTCTAAAACTCTTATTGCATTGGACAGTTAATCCAACATTTCTACCACATGCCATAGTTATGCATTGTTGAAATATTTACTTTTATGAAAAATTTGATAATCTTGCATTGATATACGTCAGGATACCGACAGATACTTTGATAAATTCTGAAACACTAATTTAAAAATACACATTGGGCATTGGACTATTCGCGCAATGCGCGTATGGTAACTAGTTGTTTTAATACACGTACTCTAACATATTCGTAGTATATGTTTAACAATTATGCAAACTCTGATTGGGATGAGGTTCGAACCTAAAACTTTTCTTATAGAAATCAATGAGTAACTTAAGAATAATAAATAGTTAACGTTATATGCCATTACTAAAGTTTATACTACCGGAATGCAGAGTTATTTAAAGGAAAAAAAATATATATTAGAGAGTAAAGTAGTAAAATAAAAAAAAATACTTAAATCAAAATAATTTAAATCATTTATTTCATTAAATAATTGAACGGACATTTTTTAGTTCGCATTATAGGTCTTAATTTTATTGGCTCTTATTAGTATGGTATCCGCCGCCGCCATTACCAATTTCCAACAGCTTCCGTGAACTTTGGGAGAAAGCTAAGCTAATAATAAGGTTGAAGCTAAGGCCGCTAAAGATAATAACTTTATATAAAGTGCAATAGCGTGCTGGCCTCCACGAACTTTGGTTGAAGCGTGCTAGAGATACTTTGGGATAAAGCTATAGTTGAAGTCTAAAGATAATAACTTTGTATAAAGTGCATGCACTCCACAAACGTAACTTTTGTTACGTACGTCTAAAATCTAAATTAACACAATGTAACTACATACATAGTGTATAGTATAAAAAAGCAACGTAACAGCCTCGATCAGCTCCATGAACTTGTATGAAATGCAACAACAGCCAGCCAGCCGGCCTCCAAATTAAAGCTGAAAATGGATGGGAGTGAAGGAAGTTGTAGGCCAGGGATGGATGCAACAAACACCGAGAGTAGTCTGGTGTCCTTTGTCACGGAAGAGAGCGAAGACCGTCCATTTTGGGTGGTGTACGGTAAGGAAGGTCTGGGCAAGACGACACTGGTCCAGAAGGTATACAACAAACCTGAGGTTCGCCATAAATTTAAGGGGTGTGCTTGGATCAATGTGACACCCCACCTCCAATACAAAACCATTTGGAAGGATATCTTATCTCAAATCGACTATCGGAGAAAGGATGATAAACTTGAGGCGTTACCTGCATATCAAGCTTTGGTTCTGAGGCTTCAATCTGCTCTGCAGTCCAACAAATACCTCATTGTTCTTGATGGTATCTGCTCAATGGAGGCTATGTTAAATGATATGCTTGCAGATAAGATGCCCAGCAAAGTTGCGATAACCACTCGGGATCAAACAGAGACTGAGAAAATTGTAAAGGAAAGGGGACGTTATCTCGAAATGATGAGTCCATTAACTGAACCTCAAAGTTGGCAACTATTTCTCAAAACTCAATTGGATCGTCACCCATCACCATCAGGTTCCTATTTTATTAATTATTTTCAAATTTGATTTTTTTTTTTTTTTTTTTTGTTTGTGTTCAATAATATTTTTAATGTAGTTTCTAAACTTAATATGGTGACAAATTGAATTAAAAATAATTTCAATCATATATATATATATATATATATATATATATATATATATGGAAGGGATCAGATGCAGGGAGGGCTTCACATGCAGTTGTGCAGTTGGACGCACATTAAACATTAAACTTACGCACTTTAAGTACACAACACACACATTAAGCACACAAACAAAACACCTTAAGAACACAAACTCACGCACCTTAAGCAAAAAACTCACGCACCTTAAGCACAAAACTCATGCACCTTAAGTTTTAACAACTACTCACATTACGTACACAATCACGCACCTTAAGCACAAGACTCACGCACTTTAAGTACAAAACTCACGCACATTACTCATCGCACAACCGCATGGGAGACACTTAACCACACGGGAACTTAATTATATATATATATATATATATATATATATATATATATATATATATAAGAACCCGAGGGTATTTAAAATCCTTTGTGAAAAGGAAAGACAGATCGAAACATGTACATCGTAAAATTATAAAAGTCATTATATGGCTTAAAGCAATCGGGAAGAATGTAGTTTTATTGATTGAGTGAATTCCTCTTAAACAAGGATATGAGAATATAATAAAGATAACAGTCCTTGCATCTTTATTAAGAAATCATCTTATGGTTTTTGTATAATATCCATCTATGTTGATGATATAAACATTATTGGAACATGCATACAAAGATGTCAAAATGGCATGATTGTGTTTAAAGGAGGAATATAATTTGAAATGAAAGACTTGAAAAAAATAAGTTTTGTCTCGTCCTGTAGATCGAGCATCTTCCTGAAGGAATTTTTATACACTAATCTAAATATACGAATAAACTATTGGAGAGATTTTATATGGATAAATCTCATCCACTTAGTACTCTAATGGTGGTCCGATCAGTTGAAGTTGATAAGGACCCATATAGACCAAAGGAAGATAACGAGGATATTCTAAAACCAAAAGTCCCTTATTTAAGTGCCATCGAGGCACTTCTCCATCTTGCCAATTGCACTAGACCTAACATTGCCTTTTCAGTAAACATGTTAACTCGGTTTAGTGATGTTCCAACCAGAAGACATTGGAATGGTGTGAAACATATCCTCATATATCTTCAAGGTACAACATATCTTGGGTTTCTATTTGAAAGAAACCAAGATACCACATTAGTGAGTTACTCGGATCCTGGTTATATGTCTAATTCACATAATGCTAGATCCCAGATTGGATATGCATTATTTTGTGGAGGTACTGCTATTTCATAGAAATCTGTTAAACGGGCACTAGTAGCTACATCATCCAATAATTCAGAAATTATTGCTTTATATGAAACCTCAAAGGAATCTGTATGATTGAGGTCATTAATACATAATATTCATAACTCGTGTGGAATAGCGAGTATAAGTGATACCCCCACTGTTCTATATGAGGACAATGCAACATGTGTTGCACAGATGAGTAGTGGATATGTTAAAGGCAATGTTGAAAAAATCGTTAGGCGCCTGGGGACCGCCTAGAGCGCCTAGGTGGGCGCCTAGGAGGCCGACCGCCTAGTGCCTAGGCACGATTTTTGCAACACTGGTTAAAGGTAATCTTATCAAGCATATTGCGCCTAAACTCTTCTACCCACATCAACTCCAAAAGAGTGGTGAAATACATGTTAAAAAGATTCAATCTAGTGACAAAATACATGTTAAAAAGATTCAATCCCAAAGATAAAAATATTTTCATACATTCTATGTTCAAACCCTGGAGGTTTACGGTTGTACTCTTTTTCACTTAACTGAGTTTTTTCCCACATGATTTTTTTAGTGTAAGATTTTTAATGAAGCAACCAAGACGACACATGCATTACCCATATATCGTGGACTCTTTTCTCGTCTAGGTTTTTTCCACAGGAATTTTCTAGCGAGTTTTTAACGATGCATGGATATGATTAAATAATGTCTAAGGAGTTTTCAAAAAAAAAAAAAAAAAAATGTCCAAGGAAAAGTGTTACTAAACCTTTTAAAGTTGACATTATTATTGTTTTAATACTATTCATTAGCCATTATTGTATTGCTTTATAACTGTCATTCTTTTTGTGTTATATAAACATGGTTCTAATAATAAGATGGCTAATGTTTCTTGAGTCTTCCTATCTTGTCTATACTTTTCATTCATTTACTTTATACTCATTATATTGTATAATTCATGCACTATATCGCTTAGGAGCTAAACGGGCCAACCAGCATATCGATTTACAACACATTCCATATAAAATCTTTTTGTAATTAATTGTTTAGATAATATGATTTTATTATATTATTATTTGTTATTTGATTTTTAAAATTATCTACTTACCTATTATTAAGATATTAGTTTTGTAGAACCAAAAAAAAAAAAATCAAATTATATAAACACAATTTATATTTTAGGGTGCATTTGGAAACTCGGAAAATGTTTCCGAGTTTTCAGTGTTTGGTAAGAGATGGGAAAATGAGGTCAATGGAAAATGATACATTAAAAAAAGAAAAATAGGTATGTTTTGGTAATTTTTTATTTTTTTTTTGGAAAGTCATTTTCTAAGGATGCACATGCCAAATTTTTCGGGCCTAATTTTTTGCGGGCCTTTGCGAGTCGGCCAACCAAACCCGCAAGTTAGGATACATGCAACCAAAGCCCGCCCCATGCGGATTGGAGGGCCCCGCATGTTTCCTTTTTTTTTTTTTTTTTGAATTCAAAGTTCCAAAAAAAAAAAAAAAGAAAGATAAAGCCTACAAATAATATTAATTTTTTCGTATTAACAATTTTTTAAAAAAAATTATATTTTTTAAAATGTTAATAACACACACACACACACACACACACACACACACACACACACACACACACACACACACACATATATATATATATATATATATATATATATATATATATATATATATATATATATATATATATATATATATAAGAACCCGAGGGTATTTAAAATGTTATGCCGTGGAACCATGTCCACCTTGCAAGGTGGACACGATTCTATGTTCATATATATATATATATATATATATATATATATATATATATATATAAGAACCCGAGAGTATTTAAAATGTTATGCCGTGGAACCATGTCCACCTTGCAAGGTGGACACGATTCTATGTTCATAATTTTTTAACTTCATATTCACAATTATTGAACTTTATATTCACAATTACAGAACTCTATGTTCATAATTATAAAACTCTATGTTCATAATTTTTAAACTTCATATTCACAATTATTGAATTCTATATTCACAATTATAGAACTCTATATTCATAACTCTATGTTCATAATTATAGAACTCTATATTCATAATTTGTGAACTATATATTCATAATTATGAACAGTTTTGGAACCGTATCCACCTTACAAGGTGGACACGGTTCCACATCATAATTTGCGACTTTGGTAAGGGGGCTAAAAATTTAATATACTAGTAATAACCTTGGGGGGGGGGGGGGGGGGGGGGGCAAAGCCCCTAGTTACCATGTTTCTCTAATGCCCCTATTAATATTAATAATTTGGGGGAGGGCCCAAGGCCCCCTTAGTGACCATCTCCCTCGGTCCCTGCTAGAAAGGAAAATGTTTTCTAGAAAAGACTCTATTTCAGAAAATATTTTTTCGGAAGTTATTTTCTGGGTTTCTAAACGCACCCTAATGTAAATGTTGTTTATATATGAGTTAATTCCACCGGAGGTCCCTTGTTTTTTGTGGCAATTCCAAATTTAGTCACAGACTATCGTTTTTGTCATTTTACATCCCAGACTATCATTTTTTGGACACTTTTAGTCTTTCTCATGATTTTTTCTATTTTTAGTAAGGACATTTTTGTCTCTTCATATTTTTCTTTTATTATTTTTCCGGTTTCAACCAGTTTAATTGGTTTAGAACTTTAGGTAACTTCTGATTTTTAGTAATCATATTTTTAATCAATTTTTAGTAAAGTCCTAAACCAATTAAACTGGTTGAAACCGGAAAAATAACAAAAGAAAAGAACAAATTGCACTTTTGTTCCACTGACTATTATGGTGTTGATAATTTGAGTACGTGACTTTCAAAACTCTCAATTTAGTCCTTTAACTATGCAATTGTTAACAGATTTGGTCCTGCCGGTTAATTTTAGTTGGAAATACGTAATTGGGTTCGATATTTTTTGCGAGGGTAAAATGGTCATTACAAGGGAAAATTCCTCCGGTCTCTGGTCGTAGCTTCTTGGTGGTCAACTATCCTCCGCTATTCCGCCAGATTTTATGGACGGTGACGTCCCTGCTTCCGCCGCCGCCGTCGACGAGGTTGTTGGTTTTGATAACTTTTGCTTCAACCCACCACCGCCCCCTCTTCCGCCACAGCAACACCTCATCATGCCATCGCAGTTTCATCAGATTCCTCCTCCTCCTCCGCAGAAGAACTATCCAGAGACCGGAGGAATTCCCCACCCCCCCCCCCCCCCCCTCCTTTATTTTCCCTTGCAATGACCGTTTTACCCTCGCCAAAAAAAAATAAAAAAATTGAACCCAATTACGTATTTCCGGCCAAAATTGGTCGGCAATTTGACCGGCATGACCAAATCTGTTAACAATTGTATAGTTAAAGGACTAAATTGAGAGTTTTGAAAGTCACGTACTCAAATTATCAACACCATAATAGTCACGGGATCAAAAGTGTAATTTGTTCCAAAAGAAAACTATAAAGAGACAAAAATACACTTACTAAAAATAGAAAAAATCATGAGAAGGACTAAAAGTGTCCAAAAAAACGACAGTCTGGGATGTAAAATGACAAAAATGATAATATAAGACTAAATTTAGAATTGTCACCAAATACAAGGGACCTCCGGTGGAATTAACTCTTTATATATATATATATATATATATATATATATATATATATATATATACCGTACCGTACCCGACCCGTTTTAATGTATTGTTTTTATTGATAATTTTTGTAGAAGACTTTGAAAGGGAGTTGGAAAATATATACAGAAAGTGTGAAGGTGTGCCATTGGCTGTAAAGTTGCTGGGAAATTTGATGGCATGGAAGGAGCGCATTGACTGGAATGAATTACGGCAACAAAGCTGTGTGTCCGCACAATACCTTATGGAGTTGTCTTACTCGCTTTTGCGGGAGCATCAGAAGACATGTTTACATTATTTGGCTCTTTCTCCAGCAGATATAGAAGCAGACAAGTTGTGCAATCTGTGGATAGCTGAAAAGATGACAACAACTCCTCAACAAGCAGAAACATATCTGAATGAACTAGCCACTCTAGGCTTGGTTGAGGTTCAAGAATATGAAACAAAGAGCAAATCATGCAGCCTTCCTCACTATGTGCGAGACTTTTGCTGTGGGAAAGCAAAAGAGGAAAGTTTGATTGCAAAAGAGGAAAGTTTGTTTGCAACTGCGGCCTTTTATTTTGACAAGCGTGTTGGTGAGTATGAGTTTCCATTGAAGCCAAAAAAAAAGACTACACTTGAGGAAGTGCAATCCATTTTGTTGTTGATGAATACTAGCCAACAGCATCACCATATATTATCGCCAAAACCATTAGATTTGACGAATTGCAAGCTGCTACGGGCATTAGACTTCAATTGGCTTGACTTTCGTGCGATCGAGTTTCCTCAACACATCAACAAACTTGCTCACCTGAGTTATCTGAGTTTCAGGGACTGCTACCTGAAAGAATTGCCACAATCAATACAAGAATTGAAAAGCTTGGAAACTCTGGATTTGCGGGTGCGGGTTAACCCCGAGGTTGTTTACAAGATGAGGAAATCAGATGTGTTATGTCAGCTTAAGAGATTGAGGAGCCTTTATTTACCTTATGAGTTTGAAAAATTTCCTGATGATGAGAAATTGGAGTTGGATTGCCTAAGTGAGCTTGAGAATCTCCAAAACTTTGTTTCAACTCACTGCCGGGCTAATGATCTCTCCAGCTTGATAAAACTCAGGTATTTGGCAGCAACTATTGTTGACGTGAAAGACCTGGAGGAGGTGATCGAATGCCTAAAGAAAGGTACATCCAAATCATCATCCATTCACCTCGAAATCATTGATTTTCGCTCTCCGAGAGGCGCCTTTGCTCTAAGTAACCTATTGGCATGCGGATCCTTGAATGCATTGCACTTACACGGGCAAATAGACAACTTACCATGGCCTATTTCTGACAACCTTACAGAGATCTTCTTGATTGATTCTGAACTTGAAGAAGATCCGATGCCATTATTGGGGGATTTACGCAAATTACAGAAACTAGGTTTAAGCAATAATGCCTTTGTTGGGGACCAAATCATCTGTAGAAAATCAGGTTTCCCCCAGCTCAGGTATTTGAAACTGTCAAATTTGCCCGACTTAAAGAATTGGACTCTTGAAGAAACAGCTATGCCTTATCTTTCTACTCTCCAGGACCGGATTTTAGGCTGTGCAAGCTGGGCTACCGCACAGGGCCCCCAATTTTAGAGGGGCCCCAAATTTTAGAGGTCCAATATTTAATATTTACCTAGCTTGTTTAGAATAAAAATTAAAAGTTTACAATTAATTTAAAAAGGTTCTATGAAGAGATGGTAAAAATATGTATATATTGTATTTTAACTTGGAGGTCAAAGGTTCGAAACTCCCATATGTTACTTTTAAAAATTCAGATTTTGGAGGGCCTCAATTATTTACCAGAACAGGGCCACACAAACCTAAAATCCGACCCTGCTACTCTCACCATTGAAAACTGCGTAAAACTTGAAACACTCCCAGATGGACTCAGGACTCATCGCCATCTCCAAGAATTGAGTATTCTAAAGATGCCCGAAAGATTCAGGAAGAAATATAATGGAACCCAGGGGGAAGATTTCAATAAAATCCAGCATGTGCTTAGCATCAAGATTACAGGAGCCCCCTCACATTGAGACTGGTGAGACTCGATCCCGAATCATTGTTCTCAAACTTTACTCCTATAACTAACTGAAGTGTCCATGCGATTTATATTTGTCTCTTTATAAATGGTGGATATATTATGGATGGTTACTTCTTTTGCAGGAACTTTGCAACACATGGGCCTATTGGTGGAAATCCCTTAGCAAGAAGAATTTCTCCACCTCTATCCACGTTTATTTACAACCGAATTTGTATTCTTAAATGGTATTTGCGTGCAATTTGTATTATTTGTGAAATACTGTCTAGATGTTTATGTATGTTCTACTCTTCAAAAAGTGTGATTTTCAGTTTATCTTATTTGTGAAATACTGTCTATGTTTATGTACGTGAAACTCCTGTATGATAATGTATGTTGTACGTACTCTTCAAATTTGGGATTTGTGAAATAAGCATTGTTTAGATATTTGTTTGATACTTATTGTCATGTATGTGTTTCAAGTGGAAAACAATCTTCCTCTACGTAACCCACCTTTTCTTAATTCCATTTTTTTTTTCTTAATTCCATTTATTATTTTTATTATCGTTTATTTTTTTAATTAATATAATGTTTATTATCATCTTTTATGTAATTAAAATGTTGGCGTATTGATTTTTTAATATTTAATAAATTTTCATGTTTTGGTTGTACTCAGTGTAAGATGTTTATCGATTGACACATTAATATTTTTCATAAATTTTGTAAAGATATCAATATTTTTTTTTTAATATTTATCAACTTAATCAACGTACACCTAAATTATTAGACACTTTTTTGGCTCTATTTGATAAAACTTATAATTTATTTTAATTATAAATAAGTTATAGCTTTGTTTGATAAATCATATAGAGCTTAAAATAATAATTTATTTTAAACATTTCTTCAAGTAGTATTTGAAAATAAGCATTGGTTGCAAGAAAGAAAACAAAGTTGCGGATCAGATTTGGTGCTCGCCCTCGAATGAGTTAGTGGTCTTTGTCGTTGCCATCACAACACCCAACCTCCATAGACGCGTCATCAGAGAAAGTGAGAAAAGTGGGTCTTAGGGAATCCGGGTCTTGTGTTATGAGGGTTAGAGCTTTGTTTTGAGATTTTTATATTTCCCTTAAGTAAATTATATACCATTAATATGTTTTCATTAATTTAACTACCTATTATTAATTAAATAATAACAATAAGGATAATAATAATTACATTATTTTAACATTTAAATATAATAAAGAAAAATAATTTAACCATATTTAAATAAATATAAATAATAAACTTATATCCATATAAGTCATTTTACATGTTAGCAGCTATTGGTAAAGAGCTAATTACCAAATAATTTTTTTACAAATCGTTAATACTACTAGCAGATCAAAACAGTTAACACAATCATCTATCAACTAACTACCACCCCTTTATCTTTTTTATTTACAAAAAAAGGATACCATCTACCATTCATTAATTAATCAAATATCTAATATATTAGTTTATTTTTTTATGTCTTTTTACACTTATCAGTTTTTATTCAATCTAAATTTTACCAAACATATTAATTTTAATCAGTTAGCTTATTATCTACTAGCTTTCAATTAGGTGTGCCAAATAGAGTGTTTGACTACAATAAACTAATATAACCACTCTTAACTTCCAGCTAGATAGCGCGGACTCAAGAGCGTCCACGGGTGTTGGCACACCCGTGCAGTCGACCTGCTACGCGAACGGGCTTCAACACAGCTGTGGCATGTCCCTTTCCACATACGGACACCGGTACACACGTGCCATCGCCCGTGTGCCGAACCTGATGTGCAGTATAAATAGATATTTTCATATTTGAGAAGAGGAGCAACAACTAGACGTGAAAAGCAACTTAGGGTAGAAACTCCTTTGTGAGATTTTCATTCTTTAGAGTTAGAAATTGCTCTTATTTCTTTCAATAGCATAGCTTGAATGCTACCAGGATTGCATGTGGATCTACTTTATATTGAAGATATGTGTTCTTGTTTTAATCTTATTTACAGCTCTATGATTTATTCCTTTGATATCTCTATGTTATTAGTCCATATGATGTGTGAGTAGTCTTGTTAGCTTAGGGTTTGGATTGAGGTTCACACGAGATTTTAAATGTCTATTTAGTATCTTTTGCATAAGAGGGATAAAACCCAATCTAGTGTTCCACTTATTGTGAGAGATCTTTATATTCTTGTGTATTGATTGTTAACACTCGTCTTGTTTTGAATTTGACCGGGGCGAAGGTTAATGGGGTCAATATTCTCCTAGACCCATCTTGCAACCCTTAAGTTCTACTACAAAAGTAGGAAATTCTAGGAATATAGTCTTGATTGCTTGAGCTTTATTGAGGGCGTTGATAGCATCACTAAAGTGAGACAATATAATCCTCATCTTTCAATTCGGCCTAGCATTGAATCATGAAAGTGACGTGTTAGTTTATCAAATTGATGTTGATAATCTTGAAACCCGAAGCTAGCTGAGTTGACTCCCCTTAATCTTTAGTATTGGCCATGCCCTACCTTTATTATTTGATCATTTACTCGTGTTATTTACTTTTATTTCCCACTCTCATATCATTGCTTAGCTTTTGCCAATTTCCCTTCTCCTTGTGTCTACATACTTTATTATGCCTAAAATGCCATCCTTGTGAATGATATAAACAATTTATTTTTCTTTTACCGAAGTTTTCTTAACTAAATTTTTAAATCTTTAAAATAATAGATATAATAATAAATTCAACTACTTCAATACCTATAATAATAAATCCATAACTTCAATCCAAAGTCCAAACATCATACTCTATAGGGATTTCATTTTAGTTTTAGGGGTATGTATTTATTTATATTTATATATTTAAAATTTCGATTAACTGATAGTTTTGAACCAAATTAACCATTAATCGAAATCGCTTTAAAAAAAAAAAAAAAACCATTAATCAAAATTTTACAAAACCTCTAACCATTAATTGAAGCGAAGTATTTCGATTAAAAAACTATTAACTGAAATTCTTCAGTTCGGTCAGTTAACCGAACTTTTACCGAAGTTTGCACACCCCTACGTTCACTACAAGAAAATCGCGACGGAAACTATTCCGTCGCAATATAGCGACGGAATAGTTTCTGTTGCAAATTGACGATGGAATTCGCAACGGGAATTAATTCCATCGCGATTTTTTGACGCAAAGAGAAAATTAAAACCGCGAAATCTTGACGGCAAAACATTCACGACGGAATTTGCGACGGAGGTAAATTACGTCGTCCGTTTAGCGACGGAAAAAACGAGAGGAATTACGTTCCGTCACGAAATGGCAACGGAAATGACGCAATATCCCTTTAGCAAGTGTGATTGGACCACTTCTCAATCTATAATGCTTGACAGGTCAATGCAGTATATATATGCAAGTGTGAGGCTACTGAAGGTACATATCTACTTTTCTTAGCTGTTTACTCAATAAATTTAGCACATATATAGATGTTGTTGCTCTAGTTTCAACTCTGCTTGCTTACTGCCAATATATATAGAATTGTCTAGATTTCAGTTGTATCATATTTGTAAATAAATTGTGTTTTGTGGGTTTTGTTGTTTGATGATTAATCTTGAGATTGTTGTGGGAGTGTTTACTGTAACTATATATATATATATATATATATATATATATATATATAAATTGTGTTTTGTGGGTTTTGTTGTTTGATGATTAATCTTGAGACTGTTGTGGGAGTGTTTACTGTAACTATATATATATATATATATATATATATATATATATATATATATATATATATATATGAGATATTGAGATTGATTGTTTGGAAATTGTTGTCTTGTGGCAAATGAGTAAAATCTTAAGGAAGATTCTATGTAAATTCATTTAGCCATCAATAACAAGTACCTGATTAAGTAAAGTGAAATGTATAGAGGGCTATATGAATCATATAATTCCTCATTCAATTGGTAATATAAAGAATAGATGATCCTCCCAAATGCTCTGTTGGGCTGGGGTGTGGGATGCCCTTAGGGTTGGGGTTCAGCCTTTAGGAAGAATATAAGGAATAGATGGTAGTAGAATTAAATGGTTATATTATAGGATGGATGGGAAATTTTCGACAACCGTGACTTGTGCATGTGAAGGAAATGGCGCTTAGAATTGAGAAACAGCTCTGTCAAATTATAGCCTTTTTGCTTGCATTTTATCTAAGTTCCCACTCCTCGGCCCCTTTCTGCTAAATAGCTTTATTTTGGTTACATCCATTCTTGGTCAGCTGATGCCATGGAGTTTTGAAGGTGTTAATGATAAATAAAGTAGCATTTTACGCCAAAGAGGCCTAGTTAGAGGTTTGTGTAGTCCTGCAGTCTGTAAGGCAATGTAAATTTCCAATGGTTAAATGAGAAAAAATTTCCAGTTGTTTATACAAGTAAAATGGGTAACTTCTGTCTTGTCTATACTCCTCTCTCAATCTGCATTTAGTTCTAGATTTGAATGTTTAATATTTTAAAGCTCACATTACTATTTAAAATAATTATTATAAATAAATTTTTTTAAAAATCCGATGGAATCGCGACGGAATATTCGTTTCCAAAATGGCGACGGAATTACTGTCGAAATAATTTCCGTTGCCAAATGGCGACGGAAAAAGTTCCGTCACAAATTTGCGATGCCTTATTCCGTCGTCATATTTTGCGACGGAATTATTCTGTCGTGTACAAAAATATGACAAGCTGATAGACGACGGAAGAATTCCGTCACAATTCCATCGCAAAACGAGATTCGCGACGGAAAAATTCCGTTGCTATTAGTGATGTTTCTTGTACTGGGTTGGACTATGACTTAGTCCAAAGTTCCATTCTCATGGCAACTTGGCTAGATGAGGCATTCAAGCAAACACTTTGTGTGCACATTTCCTTCTAACTCCCTTTTTGCAAAGGTAAGTTGGAAATGTGAGAGGTGTGGCTATGGTGCGACCTTATTCTCAAAAACACCTAATCCTTACACCTCTGCACGGCAATTATACTGTGGACCGCAGTCCACAAAGCTTTGTGGTACGCGGTCCAAAAACGACGTCGTTTCTTTAAGTAAAGAAACGACGCGTCATTACAGTTAACGCAACATGCATGTTTGATGTATTAATTACCAATTGAAAGTACAGTGTATCTAAACTAACAATGCCTCACGTATTATTTTTATATTATCAAATGAAACTGCTATTGAATTGAAATGAAACTGTAGTTGTGTTGAAATGAAACTGCAATGTATATAAAATGAAACTGAATAACATTTCACATATTTGAGTGTATATTGTGCAATGAAAATGTAGTTATATCGAAATGATAATGTAGTTGTGTTTTTATGAAACTATAGTGAATATAAAATAAAATTAAATAATATTTTCACATATTTGAGTGTCTAAATATCGAATGTAACTGTAGTTATATCGAAATGAAACTGTAGTGTATACAAAATGAAATTAAATAATAGAGTTGCTTTTTGCGGAACGGCGCGAAACGAGTGCCGTTTCTTTCCATTAAACAAAACGACGTCATTTAGAAGTTCGATGCATAATCCATTATGCACTGCGGTGTACGATATAATTTGCCCCTCTTGCATAGTTGGGCCCTAACTAAATAAGAGTCTATTCAATTCACCAACTCACAACCAAATTGATCATTAAATCATTACACAACCACAAGGAATGTAAATCAAAGATTCAATTGGAATAAAGGAACATTGCAATCAGAATCACAAGAAAGAGAAAGTGCAAAAATTAAAGAGAAGAACTTAGCTTTAATTAGGGAAATTGGAAGATCAAATATGAAAATTGAACTTGAGAAGCAATTACAAGGTGAACTTTTTTTCTAATCTTCAATAATGTTGATGGATTACAAAATAAAAGTATTTGGGAGAGTTTCTAAAAAAAAAAAAAAAAAAAAAAAAAAAAAAAAAAAAACCAAGAGAGAAAATGTGAAATGAAAGTCATGTCAAAATAATCGCCTCTGGCTATTTATATTCTAGATCCGTGTCAAAATAATCAACTCAGGATTGCTACTGGATGCATGGTCATGATGGAGGTCACGACGTGACTGCCATCGTGACCATGCAGAGCAGGCGCAGGAACTCAGGAGTTCACGATTGACCTTATGGCGTGAGGTCGATTGTGACCTCGTGGACCAGGCCTCGGATCCAAGGGTTCACACTGGCATTCATGGCATGACTGCAGCGTGACCCCTAGAATTTGCGACCTGGTCTATCACCTCACGATGGACCTTACCGCGTGAGGTAAAGTCAATCGTGAGTGTTAGGCCCAAGTTTCAGATCTTTTAACACGTAAGCAAGAGTAATAGTCAATAGTACTACTCTTAACAAATTTTTCTTTGTTAAAAAAAAAAAAATTCCTTTATTATATAAAAGTACATATATTATTTATTATTAGTAATAATATAATTATGAAAATGTTATTTTTACTCTCTATAATTTCCCTTTCTTCTCATTTTTTATGCCGCATATTGTGAATTTACCAATCACACAAGTTAAAAGAGTTTAAACAAAAAAAAAAAAAAAAAAAAAAAAAAAGAATTAACTTCATTTATAATCAGAATCGAGATTAAGGCAAACAAGCATATAAAATGTGTAGGACTATAATATTGGGCATGTCGCATCTTTCACTTAATTTTGTGCATACTGCAGGGTATGTTGGTCATAGTTTCAGGGACTCAATTACTGAAACACCCCTAACCTTTAAAAAAAAAAAAACTACAGTAATTATTATATATTATTATTATTATTATTATTTCATTAATTTTTTTAAAAACTATTTCATTAATTTATTAATTTCTGAGTTGCAATTGTCATATGGTCAAAGCAGCTTCCCTTTTAGTACTGATGAGAGAGTCTCAAGTCTCAAACACCGCCACACTTCCACCACCACTGCCTCACTCAGCTCTGCAAAAGCCTAAAAAAGAGTGAACTTTGAGCGCCATTACTGTTACTATTATATTACTCCGTATACTAATTCCAAGACTCTCTTTTGAGAAGCAGCAGAAACCAAGAAATCAAGCTAGACGCGGTGCCTGAATCTTTCCGGTCATTCAATTCTTTACCAGGAATCTATCATCCACAAGATCTCACTCTTACTACCATGATTTGATGCTTCGTGAATGTTGAAATGGGTGTGCCCAGAGAACTGTTTAGCTTTGTTTCTCTTTTGGTAGTGATTCTTTCCATTCTTGAGCTCATTTCAGTGGCCAAATCTGAATCTGACTACACCACCTTGATATACAAGGGGTGTGCTAAGCAGTCTTTGTCAGATCCATCTGGGGTTTCCTCGCAAGCCCTCTCTTCCCTCTTTGGGACTCTGGTTGCGCAGTCCTCAAAGGCCAAGTTTTCCAAGACGACTACTGGGTCTAGCCAGAACACAGTCACGGGTCTCTTCCAGTGCAGAGGGGACTTATCCAATGTGGATTGCTATAACTGTGTGAGTAGGCTCCCAATCCTCATAGACAAGCTGTGTGGGAAGCCTGTGGCCGCAAGAATTCAGCTTTTTGGGTGTTATATGCTGTATGAGATTGCTGGGTTCCCTCAGATATCTGGGATGGAGATGCTGTACAAGACTTGTAGCAGGAAGAATGCTCCAGGGAGTGGGTTTGAAGAGAGGAGGGACACTGCTTTGTCTAATTTGGCTGGTGGGATTGGGAGTGCCAGTGGGTTTTATACCACCAGTTATGAGTCTGTGTATGCCTTGGGTCAATGTGAGGGTGATGTGGGCAGTGCTGATTGTGGTGACTGTGTGAAAAATGCAGTCCAGAGAGCACAGGTTGAATGTGGGAGCTCTATTTCTGGCCAAATCTTTCTGCACAAGTGTTTCATCAGCTATAATTATTACCCTAATGGGGTCCCTAAAGGCTCTTCTTCTTCTTCTTCTTCTTCTTCTTCTTCTTCATTCCCATCTCCTTCTTCTACTTCTGCTTCATACTCATCTCCTTCACCAGGTACTTTCTTGATTTCATTCCATTCTCTTATCTATATTTCCCCAAATTGCTCTGTGTGTATTAACTAGGTTTGATTTCCAATTTCCAAATGGTCTGGCTGTTAAAATGTTGCCATCACTTAATCAAGAACTTTGTCCTACTAGGACTTTTGAGCTGTCCACCTTACAATTGATTTGATTGATAAAAGAGTGATATTGATGGATGTTTGGAATCTCCAGTCTTTCAATTTTATTAGTTTCTTAAGAAGATGTTTGTCTGGACTTAGATAGGACTTAGGATCCACCCCTTTGCGCCAAAAACTATAGCTAGTAGCGAAGGCACGAGCCCCAACAATCCCCTCCGATCATCTTGCTCTGATACCACTTGTTAATATCAAGAGGTTACCACTACGCCAAAAGCTGTAGCTAGTAACGAAGACACAACTTTATTTCCTTACAGACCGCCATCACATTTTTGAAACTCTAGGTGCTAGATTTGGCGCGTTCCTTGCCCCGCCCAATAGGCTGTCTATAGGATTGTTATGAGTATCTGTTTTTAGGACTTATTTTGTGATTTGTAGTTAATAATTGTAATTAATTAATGTAGGGTCACAGCAAAACACAGGGAAGACAGTGGCTATAATATTAGGTGGAGCAGCAGGAGTGGGGTTTTTACTCATCTGCATGTTGTTTACTAGGAGTGTGATGAAGAAACATGATGGTAAGGGCAACATTAATCAGTGGTAGTACTAAATTCTTTACTATGTTGTCTTTTGATATTTACCCTTCTTGCCTTTGGGGTGTTATGCTCTGCAGATTATTGAAGGGAACACTTGAATTTTGAGGTGGACTATTTCCTTGAATTGGTTGGTCACTTTCATAGAGGGCAAAAGGAGGGATAAGAGATGGGGATGGTGTTGTGAAGGTGGAAGGGAATGCTTTTAGGTTAAGGAGGGGGGCTATTTGGGGTTTGGGGTATGCAACTTATGATGAATTGTCTTAGAATTTTTGAGAAATGGTGCAAGAAAAGAATGCATTTTTGTCCATTATGGAAAAGATGGGCAAGAGCCCTGCTGGTTTTGGGCCTTTTTTTCCCAATTGCCATGTGCTCTTTGTCTCTTTTTCCTTGTCTATAATAATCACTTTTCCATTGTCTTAAAAATCTGATTCTTCACATAAAGTCTTCACAATTGCCAGTTCATTTTACCCATGTTTTATTGTTGTAGAGCATATTTGTGCTTTTCTTTTCATGATAATCTATATAGCTTGTTGGTTCAAGCATCAAAGTCAAATGTTGTTGCCTTGTTGGTTTCTCATTTTAGTAAATTTCTTTGGCTTGAACTCTAACTTCTGAGTCTTATAGGCTATATTGTTATTATCATCCTTTATTAGACTTGTAATACTTTTTAATTAAAATTTAATACTTTTATTTATGTTAAAAAGTATTATTCCTGAATCAATACTTTGGTGTAAACCACACTGTGGTCCGGGTCTTTCTCTGTCCGTTTAACGGTTTAGGTCCACCCAGTTCGCTCTGGGAGGCACAGAAGCTGGCCCAAAAAGGATCAACATTTGTGGGAATCGAACCCAAGTTATCCTAAAATTCTCTCCCACAAAGAGAGTTCATTTGCCACTTGAGCTACCCTATTGGGTTCCTGAATCAATACTTTAGGTGTGCTGCAGAATGTGTTCTAGTTCAGCCACAGTCAATACCCTTTTCACACTACTCTGTCAATATTGAGCTTCTATAATGGCTATAGCATACATCTCAAACATTATATTCACCAAGCTAAGGCAACAAATTAAAGCTTTAGATATATATTTCATTTGACACCCAAACTATTAACATTCCAACCAGTGGACAATAGAAATATAGCCTAATTAAGCATTAGCAAGCTAATTAAGCCATATATATACAACAGATAAAGAATCAAACTAAACAATCAAGTCATCTTTGGCAACAACATCTGCTGCTACCTTTTCACATTTAGTATCCATAATCCATAAAAAGATCAAATTAGCATGACAAAAAAACTGTATGCATAATCTCAACTCACAACCCTAATTTCCCTTAAACTCAATAAATCATCAAAACTGCTAAATTTTACATATATAGTAATAATGCTGAGACTTGAGAGCGACGCACTTTCATCTTTTCCTCCCTCGATCACCTGCATCATTCCTAAACTAAATACTGATAAAACGTATGAAAATAATTAAAAATTAAAACGAAGCGAAGCTTATAGAGTCATAGTTCTCTGCTCCATTTTTTGCTATGAAAGCCAAGCATGTCCTCCGTCCTAGAACAATTTCCCACATCGAAAATAGAGCAGAAATATTTTCTCCTAATAAGGTCGTAGTTAGAAGAATTGCTTGCTGGGCTTGGTAGCGTGAGCCTATAACCTGAGTGGGAGCATTAAGATGGTGGAACAATTGGGCATGCCCTGAAGGTTGGGCTCGAGGTGCTATCTTCTGGCTTGCCCGTTCCAAGTGGTGAGTTGTGCCGTGGATTCTCTACGAAGGTAGAGGCTTCTCGGTCCTTAGATTGGAGGGCACCGCGTGAGGCTGGCTTCACAGAGCAGCGATAACCTCTTTCTCTCCGCAGTGGAAGGATAACATGCTGGTGCATTCTCGGTCCATTAGCGCCTGATGGGCTGCCCAAATTGAACCACCATCTTTTTAAATTGTAGGGCGCGGAGACACAGATCGCTAAGGGCAGTGGAGGCGACGCCGAGGCGGGCGGTGGCAGTTTTGATGTTGTTGAGGCTGTCTCGGAGGAGGTTGACGCCGAGGAAGCCATAGCAATTCGCAACCCACTCTCAGAGACTGCGAAGATTGGACTATATATGTCCTGCTCCAGAGTCCAAACTGCTATGAAATTCGAACTATCCTATTTTTAATTGTGAAAATAACCAAAACTTTCAATTCTAATTAACTTCTACCAAAATTGACTTTTTTAGTCGTTCTAGTTTCTATTGTGCCCTAATGATAAATTCATCTCTTAATTATAGCTTATAAGGGGTGGTTTGGTTCACGGAATGTCAGATTACCTTAGGGAATGTTAGATTGCTGGGAATGTTAGATTTCTGTGTTTGGTTAAAATTGGGGTATGTAATATAATCCTGTTTGGTTTAGGGTTATCTTTTATACACACTATAATATCCTTAACATATTTTCATATATTTTAATATATTTAAAAATTAAAATTAAAATAAATAAATAAGATAACGAGATCATATATAATTACATGATTTTAAAATATTAACTAAAATCTTGAACTTGAGAAACAAAATTATTTTATATGTTAACATAACATAATAAAAAAAAATATATAATTACAAATATATATATATATATATATATATATATATATATATATATATATATATATATATATATATATATATATATATATATATAAATTTAATAAACTAACATAACCAAGGTTATCTTACATTACCTAAGATTTTGAAGGGAATCACATTCCCTTCAAAATCCTATGTGGAGGGAATGTGACATTCCTTGGGAATGTTAGATTCCCTAAGATAATATGAACCAAACACCAGAATATGAGCTTTGAAATGTTACATTCACTTGGTTATGTTATATTCGTGTAGTGATAATTTTAATCTCTGGCTTCAAATATCAATTAAAATTTAACATTGTTGTATGAAAAAAAAAAATTTAAAATTCATTTACATGAAATTATAAAGAAAACAAAAAATCAAGAATCTTGTGGTTCAATGGTACCAAGTTGAATTCTTACATAGAAAGTTGTGGGTTCGAGTCTACGCATTGCAATAGATTAAATATATTTAAAAATAATAATAATATAATAATAAAGAAGGCAAAGAAGAAAAATAATACATAATAAATGGTTACAACTTTAATTAGGGGTGTGTGTTTCGGTTTTTCGATTTTAAAAAAATCAAACCATTCTGTTTAACATTAAAGTTCGGTGACTGTGGATGTTCAATGTATGAACATTTCCTTTTTCGCCCGATTGATTCTGCCACTTGAAATGTTTTGTTGATGACAAGACATTCATTTGTATAGTTAATATTTGAAAAACAAAAATTATTAAAAGAATAACTTTCAAATATTCATAAAAGTTTTCAACACATAACCGTTTAATGAAACTGGAATGAAATCCCATAAACCGAAATTTCAATTCCAGTTCAAACAACCCTCATTCAAGTTTATGGAATTTAGTTCAATACGTACTGCGTGTAAGTGTTGAGAAAAATGGACTTATAGCTTAGTGGGTAAGGTTATTATTTTTCAAACTTAATGGTTATGGGTTCAAATCTCACCTTGGACATCCACTCAGTTTTAAGTGTTCAATTGGACCATTAAAAATTCAAAAATAATGTCAAATTATATATAAAAAAAATTATTTTAATTATTATTTTTAAAAAGTTTTCAGGCGAAACACTCCTAATTTCACCCTGCTTTCCTTCACCGTACCCCCCTCCCCCCACCCACCCCTTCTTGACCTTTTGGGTCTCCCTTGCCTCATTCTCTCCTTTAAGCCAAACAAAACCCATCTTCTTATTGCCCCAAAAACATTGCCAATAAAACGGGCACCAGACTCTATAGTCCCATCAAGAGTTTTCACCTTTTTTGGTTGTCTTTGATGGACAAAAAAAGTATAGACACTCTCAAACTTTTGCACACCTTGCCTTAAGGACGACTTAGCTCTGGTACGTTCCCTACAAGAAAAAGAAAAAAAAAAAAAAAATATATATATATATATATATATATATATATATATATATATATATATATATATATATATATATATATTATTCATTCTATACAGGCTTATTGAGGTGTTTTCCATTCTTCCAGGCTCCTTGGACTGTCTTCCATACATGGGGGTTTGTATGATTTTTATTTTCCTGGAGGCACGGTGCTTCCTTGGGCCGCCTTCCCTGCTTGCGAACCCACCAAGAATGATTTTCAACCACATTCCCTACATGTAGGCCAATGACCCGCCTTCCCTACTTGTATGCTCCTTGGGCCGCATTCCTTACATGCGGGGCCACAAATATGATTTTCAGTCACCTTCCCTACATGTGGCTCAATGAGCCGCCTTTCCTACTTTGAGGCTCTTTGGGCAACCTTCCCTACATACGAGCCCGTATGACTTTGTGCCCCTATGTCACCTTCTTTACTTGTGGGCTCTTAAAAGATAAATAGTCTATTATTATCATTATATACTATTGTAATGAAAATGATTATTCTCGTTACAGTCTTAATTAAGATCACCACTAATAACCCTATTTCACTTGCATTGCATTAGTGTAACTTAATAAAAACTATCATTAAAACCCCCCTTGCCATCCTCTCATCCTTCCCTTCCCCTAATCATAGAATCTTCCCTCCCATCCCCTAGTTTTCCAACTTTCCTATATCTTTCTAGTTGAGACCCTCACCCTCATTCCACCAACCATCGTTGACTGATCACCAATTGTGATTTTTGGCCAGTAGCACTTAACCACAACCAATATAACTTCACTTCCCCCATTGTACCCTCTTCAAAGATCTTATCATAGAATCTATGATATCCTAGGATTTGACATAAAAAGCAAAATGTAGCAAACCGTTCATACTTGAACTCCACCCTCTTCATCTTTTAGTTTTATTTTCCTCTTTAAGGGTTTAGTAATGTCCAACGCTTTCACACATATCTTCAGAAAGTTCTACCATGTGCAGTGTTGCAAAAATCGCGCCTAGGCGCTAGGCGCTCGGCCTCCTAAGCGGCCTAGGCGCCCGCTTAGGCGTTCTAGGCGCCCGACTAGGCGCTTTAGGCGCCTAGCGATTTTTTCAACATTGACCATGTGTCATCAAAATTATCCCTATTCGCCTAGATGAAATTGTCCAATTACTTTTCTTCAGATTTCACCACTTTTTGGGATAAAAACCCCACTAAAAGATTATTTTGTCAGGCGACCAGGGTTAGCAATGCACAATCTTCCTTTAATGATCTCAATCTCGAATCCACTATGATGCTGAAAAATCACCAAACACAGAAACATGTCAAGAAACTTGTCATCAAAACATGGAAAAACATTCTTGACACCGAGGACAAGAAAACAAATCTACAAAAAGAGTATGATTTTATATTACCTTTTTTTTTTTTTTTAAGGAAAACCAAATCAATTACTTATTGAAAGAATACAGAGAGGAGGAGAATCCACCCAACTACAAAGATCAATGTTTGAATACGCAGCCTAGGCTAACATATGAGCTTGCTCATTCACTGATCTATTAACGTGTCTAACAGCAAATGCTTGAAAATTAGACAAAATTCTACGACACTCACCGACTGCAAAGTTAGTATATGAACGGTCAGGGGAAAGGCCATTTACCAGCCGACACATTTGTTGGCAGTCTGATCGTATACAGACTTTACGCCATCTCTCACGCTCCAGTCAAGATAAAACTTTTTTGATTGCGAAAGCTTCAACGAGATGTGGATCTTTCACTGCTCTTAGAGATCCGGAGATAGCAGCCTGAAATTTACCTGCGTGGGAGGCAACCACTGCTCCAACTATGGTGGAATTGTCTAAGATGGAAGCATCTACATTGCAAAAAAACAACTGGGAATCAGGCTGAAACAATTCGCAAGCAACTTGGGTAAATGTAGATGGATTGTTAGCCTTTTGGAGCTCGGCCCAACACTGCCATTCATTAACCAGGGTGCTTGTATATTGTTGAACACATACCTTAAAATTCTTAATGATATGATCAATATACACCGTATACAATTGACGACTGAAAACGCATATTCACGTGACACGGTGAACCCAAGGCGCAAATTAGTGACATTAAATCATTTTCCATCTTTAATATACGCAAAAATCCTTAGCCTACGCATCCGCGTACACTGACACTGTAGAAAACAGTGAATGCAAAACAGAAGTGACGAGGGAAGCTAAACCGGCGGTCGATACTTGTGAAAAACCCTCCAAAAATCTATCCATAGCAAAATCAAAATCTTTCCTCCATTTTCGTTCTTCTTTCTCTCTCTGGCGAGCATAGTCAGAGTGAGAGAGAGACAGAGAGGGAGAGGAGTGGAGAGGAGAGAAGGACTTGGCGCTGAAGCTGTGGAATTGGGGCAAATGTGAATTGGAATTCAGGATTTGATTCGATTTGGTTTTCTGCATTCTTCAGATCTCCTGAGTTGCATTTTCAGATCTAGGGTTTTGGGGACTCTCCCTGCTGTCGTGTTCCTCCCTCCATGGCGGCGCCTTTTCCCTTTTCCGTCACTTCCGTCCAGGTATCCTTTTTATATGTATCTCTCTCTATACTGGTGTATGTGCCTGTGTTTTTCTGTACATGGATATATCTTCCTGTTTATGTATATATATTGCTCAGTATTGAAAATGGACTTTTGTTTTATTCTGTAGTTAACTTGTGTTGCAATGTGATGTATAAGTACTGGCGTAGCACTTCATTGAGATATTCGATTATATACATGCTTGTTCTGTATGTCTGTGTGTATTTTTTCAGTTCTATATTTGTTTTTCTTAGCTTCATTGGATTCCTCTGCATTTATATGTGTTTTAATACAAATGGAAGTAGTGAATGTTAATTCAGTGGGATTTTAGAGTTTAGACTTGGGTGATCATGTTATTGGGATTTTTAGTTTTATTACCTAGACTAGATGAGTAATTTGTTGCATGGCTATGTTCTTACTGTCTGGGGGTTCTCCAGGTTGGATCCTACTTTATAGGACAGTACTATCAGATACTACAGCAGCAACCTGAATTTGTTCACCAGTTCTACAGTGACGTTAGTACCATGGTCCGTGTCGATTCCAACAGGCCCGACGCCAGGGAAACTGCCTCTGGGATGCTGGTAATCATTTAAAGTTTTGCATTACTTACATTTTCCTTGTTTATCTAAATTGAAGCACTGTTGAAAGTAGGAACACAGTTCCAAATTTCAGTTCACCATGATATAATTGTTTTATTTGTCTTTCTCTCTCCAGAGCTCTCTTACAAACTACTCCCTCCATCCCATTTGCTTTTTCAGTGGCCAATTTGACTTGCGTTTAATACTTATGAGTTTACCTTTTGAAATTAGAAGTTACATATTGTTAAACTACAAGTTATGTAGTGCTTATTTCTAGTTATAAAAGGAACTTAAAGTATGAATACTTACAAGCGTTTCCTGAAAGAATTAAGCAGCATGTGTCATCATTGCAAAAAGTGAATTGCAAGTTTTTTGGTAGCTGTGCATGGAGCTTAGAATTTCTAGAGTTGACTGAGTAACAAACCCTCATTGCAATATTCCTTCAACTTGTCTTTGCAGCAAATCCATGCAGTTATCATGTCTCTCCATTATACTGGAATAGAAATCAAAACAGTGCATTCCTTAGATTCATGGAGTGGGGGTGTTCTAGTAATGGTTTCAGGTTCTGTCCATGTTAAGGATTTTAGTGGGAGAAGGAAGTTTACGCAAACCTTTTTCCTGGCACCACAAGAGAAGGGTTACTTTGTTCTCAATGATATCTTTCACCTTGTTGATGATGAACAACTTCTCCAACATCCAGTGGCCTATATAACTCAGAGCAATCTTGATAGCAAGCTGAATACGTCAGCTTCAATTCAAGATCAAGGTATTGGTTTTTTTTATTTAATTTTTATTTTCCAGAATGACTGCTTATTATCAATAAGGGGATCATTCCAATGAACATAATATATTGGCTTTCTGCACAGTATAAAGCGCAGAAAACAGTGTAACATGGTCAAGATTCCAACAAATTAGGAAATAAGTTTTTCTTTTGCTATATCTTGTAAAAATTCAGCAGAATTTCTTTAATTTTTGAGATTAATAATTGCTTCTGTAGTATCCAACTACATTCTTGGTGGAGAAATCCAGGCTAGCAAATTTGTACCTCCCACAAAGATCAAAGAAAATGGAAAAGCCAATAACTATAACTTCACCGAGGAGCATCTTCAGCAGGTCCCTGAATCTGATAGGATCCACAACGATAACTTTACAGAGCAATCCAATGGTCCACTTCCAAGTAAAATGGACACTGTACAAGACCAATTACATGCTCCTATCGAGGAACCGGTTTCAGAGACTCAGAAACATACTTATGCTTCTATTGTACGTATTTGTCCTGTACTCTTCTGGGGCAACGATACCCGTTTTTTGAATGCCTGGTCAAATGATAATGAAATTATTTCACTTTTTTATTGTCTCTGAAAGTTACAGGTTGCAAAAAGACAACCTGTGCAAGCGGTAGCCCCACAGTCTTCTTTTAACAAAGCTGCTGATCATTCGGAGTGGCAAGGTACACCAGAACCTACTGGTCAGCCGCCATCAGCACCTTCTAATAATGTTGAAAAGTCTGGAGCAGAAGTAGAAGAAGAGTTTTCTGCTCTGGAAGATGAATGTGAGCTTATCCTTCTAATGTGTTATACTTCTTTGGGACACTTCAGATGTATAATTTAATAGGTAAATATGTAGCTATCTAATTATTCTTTTTTGAATTTCTTCATCACTTGGTAGTCGAAGTGAAGTCAGTGTATGTGAGAAATTTACCAACAACAATGGATCCTTATGAAATTGAAGAGGAGTTTAAAAAATTTGGTAAACTGAAGCCTGATGGTGTCGCTATTAGAACACGGAAGGTTTGTTTTTATCCTTTCCCCATTAGCGCAAACCTTTGTTTTTAGTGTTCAAATTAAAATTAACTGATACAGATTTGTGCTTAACATTAATACAGGATATTGATGTGTGCTATGCATTTGTTGAATTTGAAGATGTAACAAGTGTACAGAATGCAATCAAGGTTTGTACTCACGTTACCTTTTATGTCTCAAAACCTTTTCTTTTATTGTATGCGAACTAATGAAAATATCGTTTTCTGATCTTCTTTTCTGGGTAACTAATAATCCATATGATCCTGTAAAACTGAAGTTCATGCACTTCTTCATTTTATCTACCTCTAGCTTCTACCATGGTCAGAATTCAGAAACCATATGTCTACCTAGTACGCCTGAATATTAATAGCTCCATTAAATTATGTTTGTAGGCTTCTACTGTACAGATTGGTGGACACCAGCTATATATTGAAGGGAGAAGACCAAACAGAAATAGCTTTTCTCGAGGAAGTATGTATCTTCTTTCCTCAAATTGCTGATCAAAAAATTAGATGTGGTTTTAGATATTAGATATTTTGAAGTAATAAATTCCTCCTTTAGTATATCAGAACCAATTTGGGAATTTTCTCTTTAATGTTGTATCTTTCATAGTTTGATATATAGGAAATTCATTTCCCGGCCCCTTATCTCCATGGTATGCTGGTGATTAGGGTAAGTAGGGGCATCTAAGACTCTTAAGTTATTATTCAGGCATTCAGCAAGAAAGAGAGAAATAGGATAGGATGACAATCTACTGCTCCATTACTCAGATTAACAATCTTATCATCACAAGGAGGGTTTGAATGTTTGATATAAAGATCTTGTCCATTTCTGAAAAATGTTTACCCTCTTAATGGTTCATGACACATGAATTCCAATACCCCTGCTTTATTCTTGGCCTTTGTGAGCCAACCAGAACTTTTAGGAAGCTTATGGGAAAGAGAAGATATAATTAGATGTGATATATACTTAAATAAGGGAAAATTGCATTTTTGGTCCTTCAGTTATACCCATGGTACAAACATAGTCCTTGAGTTATATGCGTGATCATTTTTAACCCCTAAGTTATCCACGAAGTGGCGATTTTAGTCCCTCGGGGACTATTTCTACCACCAATTTGTCATCACTTAATAAAGTGGCTGATTTGGTCCTTCAATAACTAAAATCGCCACTCCATGCATAACTTAGGGATTAAAGATATCACATATAATTTATGGACTAAGCCTGTACCACGAGTATAAAATGCAAATTTTCCATTAAATAATTAATTTTAAAAGTAGTTCTACTTTTTCTATATAGTGCACATTCTTTCCTTTATACATAGTTAAGCACATCAGGTGATAAAATAGCAAGTGAAGTCTGAATGCTGTAATCAAATTCTGTTACATTTTTAAAAAAATTAATATTTTAATGTCTGGAAGCAGGGGGCAGGGGTAGAGGCAGGATCACCTACCAGATGGAAGGAAGAGGGGCGCGTTTCAGTGGCCGGGCTTTTGGCAGAAGCAATGGTCACGACAGAGGTGATCGGGAGTACAGATCAAGAGGAAACGGTTTTCATAGGCAAGGTCCTCGTCAAGAAAGAGGTTTTTCAAGCAATCCACAAGGATCAAGAAATGGACAGGGCTCCGAATAATCTGCTGATTGCTGCAGAATTCGAGTTGAGGCATAGTGGAAGAAATTTTGAATTATTCAACATCTTAAGCTCCCCGCAACGGTATACTTTGCGAAAGCATTGATATAATCAGATGTGCTTTCAATGAACCAACCTTCAATATATATTATTTTAAAAATTTTGGTAAATCTAGCTAAATCTATTTACAATGAACGCTTTCGGGAAAAAAAAAAAGGTTTTGCAGTTTTGGTTTCCTCTATACTTGCAGTGAATTTTGGGTTTACCGCATATTGTCATTTGTGCTTTTTTTCTTGAATATATATATATATATATATATATATATATATATATATATATATATATATATATATATATATATATATATATATATATTTTCTCAAGACCTGTTAGTCCGTAGAATGTAAGATTATATAAGGTAATAGTAGATTATACTCATGTATAAGGTAATAATATTACTCCTAAGAGGTGATGTGAGATAATAGAAATGTAAAATTACATTGTGTTTAGTGTGAATTATGAGGATGTAATATTAAGATGTATATAAGATATATATTTTAAGTTATTTATAATTAATTTAGTTGTGGATGCCCTCGGTGGGTGCCCGAGCTGAATTTGTCTTATTTTTAATAAACATTGTCTGACTTGTGTTAGAGCATCCTCATTTGTTTTGATTTTTTCATGGTTTTTGTAGCTTCACCTAAAAGAGAAAGAAGATGAAAGAGAAAAAAAAAAAAACTGAACCCACCAAACACATGATAGCGGTATCTTTTCTCCATTTCTCTCTTGTGGGACTTACAATAAGAATAAAAAAAAAAACTTAAAATTGCAAGAAAAAAAAAATCCTGAAAAATCAATTTGAGCAAAAATACCATTAATAGGAATGCTCTTACACTGATGTAGTGGTAGAGAAGTGTAGGTCATCATGTAGGTTCTCAACTGGTATGGAGGAATGGGTTTTGACACCCCTTCCCTTGTGAAAAAATGATTAAAATATGTAGAGACCTACATGTATTTTTCAAAATGTGTGTTGATTTTTTTTTTTTTTTTGACAAAAATATGTAAACCGAAGTTAGGACTTGCGTTTTAGGTGTGTCCCAAACCGCCATGTCACCATTTTTTTTTTTTTTTGGGTTTCTTAAAACGCAAGTTGGACTTGCGGTTCAGGTATGCTATACGTAAAACGCATTTTCCAAATGCGTTTTACGTATACGTATCACATACTACAAAACGCATCTGGCAGTTGCGTTTAACGAATAATACGTTGAATGCATCCGCCAGATGCGTTTAAGCTATCCGTATCCCGCCGGCGGCCGTTTATGAGACTATACAGTAAAACGCAAGAACCAGTTGCGTTTTACGTATTATGCGTTAAACGCAACTGCCACATGTGTTTTTGTTATCTCCAACCCCAACTAAAAGAAAGAACGCAAGTGAGATTTGCGTTCTATAGTAGACCGCAAGTCCCACTTGCGATTTGTCTGTGTGATGTGACATTTCTGATGAGGTTTTTGGGCTGACGCTTTTGGGGACTTTAACAAAAGCTAAAACGCATGTGGGACTTGCATTCTACAGAAGACCGCAAGTCCCACTTGCGTTTACACATTATGTTGTCAGCTTTCACATAGTTATGTTGATTATTTGTTACAATAAATAAATTATATACATACCAACCATTACATCTTTGGCTATAAATATCTCATTGCGTTTGTGGATTTTCATTCAAACATTTCATTTTTTCGTTTTAAACTTAGTCTTTGGGTAGCCTGTTGGCCAGCTAAGCCGTGGCATCAAATCTCCTTAACAAAAATATACCAATCCGAAAAACGCAAGTGGGACTTGCGTTTTGACATTGGGTTGATCATTTGTTATAATAAAAAATTATATACATATCAAACATCACATCTTTGGCTATAAATATCCTAATACGCCTAGAATAATCCACGACTATTGTTAAATTAATAGTAGAAAAAATTAACTGACCCATAACTTAAACTACATAATGAAAGCATATGAAAAGATTTAAACCCTGGCCAACCTCAAGTTCAAATACATGCTCAACCAACCAAGCTAAACCATCTCCAGTTAACATTTGCCTATTTTCTAATACTTAATTATACTAAAACTAGTACAGTACACAAACTCGAAATCGGTCAACATAAAAAATGGACAAAGGTACGTAACACATTTGGAAAATGCATTTTTCTAGTTACCTGAAACAACCGCCGGAGATAACAAAAACGCATGTGGCAGTTGCGTTTAACGTATAATACGTAAAACGCAACTGGTTCTTGCGTTTTACTGTATAGTCTCGTAGACGGCCGCCGGCGGAATACCAGTAGCTTAAACGCAACTGCCAGATACGTTTTGCAGTATGTGATACGTATACATAAAATGCACGCATTTGGGTAATGCGGCGTTTTACATATAGAATAATTGAACCACAATTCCAACTTGCATTTTAAGAAACAAAAAAAAAATGGTGACATGGCAGTTTGGGACACACCTAAAACGCAAATCGCAACTTTGGTTTCCATATTTTTGTCAAAAAAAAAAAAAAAAAGAAGTTAAAACACGTTTATTAAAAAATACATGTGAACCTCTACACATTTTAGTCATTTTTCCTCCCATTGTATTGGGTTTGCTTTAATAAATTGGTGTTTCTTCTTCTTCTTCAAAAATCCTCAGTACAAATAAGTAAATAAATAAATGATATATATATTATAAAGTTTGAGTGAGAGCATTTTATCTAGATAAATCAATGCACGTACCTCAAAAATGAAGTCATTATAATGATGTAATTATCTTTGCATGATAACCGGTTATAAAATATGGCAAATAGAGTTTTACCCCTTTTGAAATGGTCATATAGAATTAAACTAAACACATAAATTATTGAGTATTAAGAGAAATTTATGGATCACTCATTCACTTGTGTATGCCTAAAATTAAGCACCTGGTTTTCAGTATAAATAAAACGGTGAAAAGCTTGCATTTCGTGAGCCGGCTTACTGTCCTATCTTCTAGAGAGGGCAGAAGCCAATCCTCTCATCTGATCTCCTCCTTCCCCCCAATTGCCGCAACTCTCCCCCGCCGTCCCTTCCTCCCTGGACGGCGTTTGATCATCCCTTTGTCCTCCTCCTCCGCCGCCGCATAGAAATCTCCTAATTAAAATTAAGAAAGCTTCGATAATGGCGGGGGCGGCATATTTGAAACCTTTTCAGCTCCTGGAAATCAACGTGATCTCCGCGCAGGACTTGGAACCCCTGTCGAAGAAAATGAAGACGTACGCCACCGTGTGCCTCAACCCGACCCGGCGGCTCACCACCGCGGTGGACTACGACGGGCGAACCAACCCCACGTGGAACGACAAGTTCGTGTTCCGCGTCGACAACGAGTTCCTCAGCCGCGACACCTCCGCCATCCACATCGAGATCTTCGCCGTCAAATGGTTCCGCGACTCCCGCGTCGGCTCCGTCCGCTTCCTCGTCGGAAACCTCTTCCCTCCTCCCGCCCGTGGACAACGCCAAAATTTGGGCATGCGTTTCGTCGCCCTCCAGGTACTACCTTCCACATTAATCTTCTCTCATTTCAGATTCATTAATCTTAGCTTTATTCAATATGTTCCATTATATAGTCTGATGTGTTCTATTATATAATGTGATGACACATCTGTAAGATTGAACATTATATAATATGATCTGCTTCATTATATAATGTGATGACAAATCTGTTAGATTAAACATTATATAATGTGATCTGTTTCATTATATAATGTGATGACAATCTGTTAGATTGAATCTCGTGAGGGTGGGATATGGATTCTTTATATGGGAATGGATTTTATTATTAATGAATTTATTGGAATTTAGGTTCGTCGGAAATCTGGGCGACCACAAGGAATATTGAACATAGGGGTGTCGTTACTGGATAGCTCGATGAGGAGCATGCCATTGTACAGGGAAATGGACACGTCGGCGGTGGGGGTTCGAGATCTGATGCAGGAAGATAATCTTCGCCACAACGCCAAACCCTTCCCGTTTCTCCGTCGCATGAAGAGCGAGCGCAGCACTCTCATGTCATACGACGACGTCTCCGTCAACAACAGCTCCATACTCGCAATCCCCAAGAGGAACAAGGCCTTCGCCTTCGACGACAAGGAAAGCTCCATCCTTAGCATCTCCTTCGTGCCGCCACCGCCACCACCGGCGGTGATCAAGGGCGCCGGGAGCAGCAAGAAAGGAAAGGCTAGCTCCGTGATCAACGGGGCCGAGCTCCGACAAGACAGGTATTCTGTTCAGTTTTATTCTAGCCTATTCTTTTGATTTGTTCACTTTCTGTATAAGTTGTGTACTCTATATATTTTGCTTAGATTGGTGAAAGGAAAGGCGAGTTCGGTGGTGAGTGATTCCGTGTTTAGCAAGGAAACGAATATCAAGGGAGAAGAGGGTGCGCCAACGTTGAGGCCGATTAAGACCTCATTGGGCCCAAAATGGAAGGCGAACTCGATGCTATCGGACTCGGAGGTGGGGCCGTCGCCATCGGAGGTGGCGATGGCGATGGCGGAGCAGCGGAGGTACCCGCTGGAGCAGGAGGGGAGCTCGGTGATGGACGGGTGGAGCATGGACGAGAGCAGCGTGGAAGGGCTGCGCTCGAAGCTGGAGAGGTGGCGGACGGAGCTCCCGGCGATGTACGACCAAGGAGGCTACGCCACCACCAGCAGTTTCCGGTCCTCCTCCTACCACACCAGGAGGCACAGCGAAGGCGACGGCAGCGCGGCCGACGGGTTGTTTTCTTGTTTCGGGAACATGTTTGGGTACGAGTGCGAATGCGTCTGTGGCCAACCTCCAACGATTGACAACAATAACAATGACAATAACAGTAACGTGAACAATAACAATAACAATAACAACAATTACATATGCAGAAGCCCATCAGTTGGGGGCAGCAGTTTTCTTTAATGGAGTTTGGATCAACAAAAGTGATATGAGAGGATGATGAAGTGATCAAGAAGGAGCGTTGTGTTTGGGGACGGACATTTAGGGGATCGGATCGGAACGAATCGAAATAGTACTCTTTTTTGTTCTCTTGGAATTTATTGGAAAAAAAAAAGGGTTTTTTTTTTTTGACAAAAAAAAATTAATTTTATATTTTTGTTAAGTAATTGTTCCACTTCATTTACTTTTCTGATCTAATATCAATAAAGTTCCAAATTAAGTTGCCTCAATGAATGAACCCGTGCACTTTTTACTTCATAGAATCTCTTAAAAAGAATGATTTAGTGTTTTTCATTGGAGGGTGTTTACGTATTAATTAATTTTTTTTGAGAGAATTTCAAACAAAAGACAATTGGTTAATCAAAACACAATAAATTAAACTATTGGAGATTGAGGATGCTTACAATTTTTGAAATATTAGGAACTTTCATATATATTGTTGATGGTTTAAATTAATTAATGGCTTTGTATTGGTTGTATTCATTTAAGAGTAAATACCCAAAATGGTCCCTCGACTATAGCTAAATTCACAAATTGATCCTCAACTTTCAATTTCACCCAATTAAGTCCTTAAGAACCTTCAGCTCTCGTCGGAGCACGTGGAGGCCTCAAAAAATTGAAAGTTGAGAACCAATTTGTAAATTTAGCTATAGTCGAGGGACCATTTTGGGTATTTACTCTTCATTTAATTGTATTTGTTGGAAGCGTATATTTATTTGGTTAAACAATGCTTTAATATTATGTACAACTTTTGTGTAAAATATTGAAAAATAAATTATCAAGTGAGTCTAGCTCTAGCTCAAGCTAAAAAAAAATAAAGCTCAATTGATCTCAAGTTGAGCTTTGGCTTTTGAGTATTTGAGCTTGGCTTAGCTCAATTACACCCATATGCCTCGTGTAACTTCCAAAAATCTCCTTACAGAAAGCGGTTAAACTTGACTCAAATACCAATGGACGAGGTGGTGGAGAAGAGGAAGAAAGAATTTGAGGATCACATCAATTCCATCCAAGAATAAGGAAAAACTGGAGTAGGATTATCCAAAGCATAAATGTTGCATTTTTTGTTACTTGTTGGTGGATCTTTATTGTAAAATTGGATTGAGTAAGTGAATTAGTATACTATACATCATTGTTTCACTTTATTTTAACTACTGCTTTAGTCTCACAAAAAATTGAATTACTTTTATTTGTCCGGCTCACCAAAATGCCCCTTCGACACTACTTAAAATAGTCATCTCATTCTTTGTTCCCAAATGACAAGATGCCTAATGGCCCGTTTGGTTCACGGAATAGGCCGGGAATGGCATAGCATTCCCGGTAATAGGCCTATTCCGTTGTTTGGTAACCATTTCTATTACCAGGAATAATATTCCTGGTAATAGCCTATTACCTCAAATAAGGTAATAGCTATTACTACGGCCCCCCTGGTATTAGCCTATTACTAAACGCTCAAGAATAGATTTTAGAATCTATTTCCTTTTTTACCCCTTCTTTAACCTAATTTTTTTTTATCATATATATATCCTATTTCACCACCGCCGCCGCCGCCACCACCACCATCGTCCCGCCGCCACCACCACCATCACCGCCGCGCCACCACCACCACCACCATCACCGCCGCCGCCACCACCACCATCACCGCCGCTGCCGCCGCCGCCACCACCACCATCTCCGCCGCCGCCACCACCACCACCATCGCCACAACCGTCACCGCCCCCACCACCACCGCCGCCACCACCACTGCCATCGCCGCCACCACCAATACCACCACCGCCACCGCCACCACCTCCATCACCACCACCACCATCGCCGCCGCCGCCACCACCACTACCACCGCCACCAGAACCACCACCCAGCAGCACCACCGCCACCGCCACAACCGTCGCTGCCCCCACCACCACTGCCACAACCGTCACCGTTAACACCACCACCGTCGCCCCCACCACTGCCACCGCCACCACCACCACCACCACTACCACCCCAGCACCACCACCACCACCACCGCCGCCACCACCACCGTCACCATCGCCACCATCACATATTTTTATAAGGGTATTTATGTCTTTTAAAACATATTTCATTTCTATTCCTTAAATCAACCAAACACTGTAATATAATTCCTAAAGTCTATTCCTTCCGCGAACCAAACAATAGAATACAATCCTATTCTATTCCTTGCCTATTCCATTCCTTATGGAATAGCATTCCTATTACCTCAAAATTCATTCCGTGAACCAAACATGTTGTAAGAGAATTACGTTACAGGGACATTATCTCTCTATAAAATGATAAAATAACATTGTTTAAAAATTCTTATTGATATTAAGCTTAACGAGGTTAAGTAAGTCGTTAATTTTTAATTTTTGTTTGTTTTTTAGCCCAGCACATGCAATACCAGTGGTTATATCATGCGCCTTGTCCTACCCAAAACGACATCGTTTTGGTGCATTGTCTAAAAAAAAAATTATTTATTTCGAATACACATAAACTCATAATAGAATACAGAGAAACTCATAACTGAATACACATAATCTAACATAATATACAGAAACTCTTAACTGAATACACATAAACTCTTAATTGAATACACAGAAACTCATAACACAGATGAGAGAGGTAATTCAGTTGTATTGATTATCTGAATGAATTACAATAATACAATACTACAGTGAGTAGGAAACGTATCACTAACAATACAATACACAGAAACTTTTAACTGAATACACATAATGGAGTTTGGGCCATTTGGACGGACGGAGTGACGTCAACAATTGAAACGCGCGTGTTTTGTGTCTGAACACACATTGCTATGTGTGCCGTGGTGCATGATATAAATTGCCATGCAACACCTTTTCACTTAGCATCTATTTATTTAACATTTATGTCATATTTAGTTCACAAAATGAAATTTGGTAGAATTAAAATTCTAGTCTATAGGATGAAATCAATAAGGAATAGAATAAAATTCATAGTTCATTGTTCTGTTCGATGTTTCATAATTTTATTCCAATGATTAATTTAAAAAATTGGAATAAGAAGACAATAATTTTATGATCTTATGAATTATCTTGAAAGATATTAGCTTCAGCGAACCTTCAAATTTGTAAACAGCAAAGAAGAAATATTACTGTGTCAACTAGGTTAGGGGAAATAAAATTTTAATTGTCAAAAGTGAGATTTGAACCCATGCCCTCTCACAAAGACCAGAACTAAGCCTGACACCTTAGACCACACAGCCATCCTAACTTGATGTTCAAATTTTGGTCACTATATCAAATACTAGCATACGATAAGTAAGGACCAAAACCAACACAAGGCTAAAGTAAATGTTTAATTGTCAGAAGTGGGATTTGAACCCACGCCTTCTCACGAAGACCAGAACTTGAGTCTGGCGCCTTAGACCACTCGGCCATCCTGACTAGATGTTCAAATTTTGGTCATTAGATCTACTAGTAGCACGATAAGTAAGGAACAAAGACCGACAAGACTAGAATAGAAATTTAATTGTCAGAAGTGGGATTTGAACCCACGCCTTCTCACGAAGACCAGAACTTGAGTCTGGCGCCTTAGACCACTCGGCCATCCTGACCTGATGTTTGAATTTTGGTCATCAATGTTATTCATATAAAAACTATAGCAAAAGTTTTTAAAAACAAATTTCACAACCTTTTAATAACTATAGTGGAGTGATTGGGTCAAAGTACCTGCTAGGTCCCTGTACTGTAGCATTTTTTTCAATTTAGTCCCTGTACCTTAATTTTGGTCAATTTAATCCCTGTATTTTAAGATTTAGAACAATTAAGGACAATACTTAACACCGTTAACTTTTTCCACGTGGCGTTGGATTTGCCATGTCAGATTGTGTGATGTGGCATTGCCATGTCAAATTCTGGGATGTGGCATAAAACAATATATTTTTCGAACTAAAAAGGAGTAAGTTTCGAACCCACAACCTTTAGGCTAAAAAATATGAAGACTCCACCACCAAGCTACACATTAATCTTGTATATAATAATTAAAATTTGTAATAATAGTAATTTGTCTACACGTGGGTACCAAGTTCTCCACCACCAAGATGTCCACCAAAACACATAAATTTTTGCACTAGAAAGCAAAAAATAATAATAATAATAATTAATAATAAATAAATAATTTGTCTTACTATTTAAGATGTTATGTTCTCAACGCCTTGTCAAACAGTCATTTTTAGCACATAAATTGTGTAAAAGTTCATGATTTTATTTATTTATTTATTTATTTATTTATTTATTTATTATTATTATTATTATTATTATTATTATTATTTTGCTTTCTAGTGCAAAAATTTATGCGTTTTGCTGGACAACTTGGTGGTGGAGAACTTGGTGCCACGTGTAGACAAATTACTATTATTACAAATTTTAACTATTATACAACAAGATTAATGTGTAGTTTAGTGGTGGAGGTTTCATTCTCTAGCTTAAAGGTTATGGGTTCGAAACTTACTCTTTTTTAGTTTGAAAAATATATTGTTTTATGCCACATCATAGAACCTGACATGGCAATGCCACATCACACAATCTGACATGGCAAATCCAACGCCACGTGGAAAAAGTTAACGGTGTTAAGTATTGTCCTTAATTGTTCTAAATCTTAAAGTACAGGGATTAAATTGAACAAAATTAAGGTACAGGGACTAAATTGAACAAAATGCTACAGTACAGGGACCTAGCAGGTACTTTAACCGAGTCATTGCTATATCATGAATTCTATTCATGTTAGTGACATTTAATGTACATTTTCTGATAACATAATGAATGATGTGGCAATCACATCATCCAATTGTGTAACTATGTCATCTAGATATATAAGTATATCTAATGACATCAATAATTTTACTTAATGTTTTATTTTTAATAATACATAGATCAAATTGACTAATTTTATAATTTGAAGATAAAAGTATACATTTCACAAGTTTAGTCTTTATTTCATTGTGTCATTGACTCCATTTTTGTTTTTGTTTTCTCAAGTTATAACTATTTGTTGTAAGATTATTTTTTGTGTGTGTTTAATAATACTTTTAATACTTTTTTTGATCAATTTAGTCTCTATACTATTAAAAAATAATAATAATAAAAAAGTAAAATTCTTAACGCCAACACCCTCTCGATCAATCCCATTGACCCATCACATAAGACTTTTTTAGTGCAATTTACTTCTTCTGTATAGTTTGCGGATTATTATACAGGTAAGCTAACAGTGCACTAACTGCAACAAAAATCCCTCAAAAGAGATTTAGTTAAAAGATATGATCCAAAACATAAAACCTATCATCCACATCCACATCCAAACTCGCTAAATCATTATAGAAACTGAAATACTGGGAAGCATTGAAACTGGATTCTGTTAATCACACTGGATTGGCAGTAGGATTTATATATACACATCATCATCTTAAGCAATTCTATCTACAAATGTACAAGCTGAATTGTACACTGAGTTCTTAAATCAACTACATCACTTCAATCAGTGAGATAAGTTAGTTAAAACGTCCCTTCTGAATCCACACGAGATTACTAGAACCAAATTTATCTAACCTCTCTTTCACATTTCTGGCAGCCGGGAACTTTGACAGCTACCTGGAACGTCAAGATCCATAGTTGTGCCAGAAAATTGACGGGAGCAGCACTTTACAAAGTCAGTCGGACACAGTTTGTCTTAACGCTATTCAACTGTAAATTGGGACAGAAAATTTTTGTACAGTGCAGGATAACGGAATGTCACAAAACTGCAGCCAATATGCCCATTCACATCTGCACAAGACATAAATAACTCAGAAGTCAGAATAGGAAAAAGTTTTCATGTAAAACGCTTTCATTGACTTCATTATGGAATGACATGAGAGTTTAAACTAAATGTTTAAGCATGTATGCCAGTTATTCACCTTAAATAAATCAAGATATCTATTCTCAGTCACATGATATATATTGATATGCACAGAAACCATCGTGCTAGATTGCAAATTGAAAAGATAGTAAAAAGAAAGGAATCCAAAGAGAGTAATAAGCACAATACACATATAGATCAGGAAGTAAATACTCCGAATGTAATATTTCAGAACATTCAAGTGTCCAACACATGAACTACAGTCAGCCACCAAAAAAAAAAAAACAGAATAATAAGGGAAGGAGATAAAATTCTACAATACATGATATTGGCCAACGAAATAATGCACCAAAACCGTATATTGAATAGCAAGGACTACTCTGATCCCAAATGAAAGCACCCTGTAAACTTTATAAATTGTATATTTTAGGAATGGGAAAAACAATGCATTTAGAAATTTATAGTGTAATCAAAGCAATCTATGTGAAAGCTTTCAAGTTTCTGATTCAGCAACGCTCTGTTCCAAGCCTACACTCCATAATCTAGTGAGAGGGCCCAGAATACGACTCAAAGCAAACAGCCACTGGGCAAGTGAATACTATAACATAACATTGTGCCCAAATCATTCACTTCAATTCCACACTTTGACACTTTGTAGGGGAAAGAAGAAACTTCTTTTAGATAAGGTCTTCTGTTGTATGTCAGAGAAAGGGTTAAAAAATCATATCATTTATTTCCCATAGATACATTCATTTCAAGTCATTCAATTTAATCAAATATAGACCTTATGGATTAGTGTTGTGAACAATGAACCAACAGTTTTAGATGGTTAGAATATAGCATGTTCTTTGTGGACAAGTTCAATATTCACTTCATATGTACTTGGTAGAATTCTAAAGGTAATAGGGTTGTGACTATTGATAGAGTTAGACTACTTAAAAGGCTAGGCTCAATGGACTGTTCAACTACCATGTTCAGTTAATAGATGTTAGTTTACTTACTAAATGGATCTCCAGTAGTCCAGTAACCAACCAAATTAAAAATATATATGTATAAATGCACATGAAATACTGTCAAATACTGCACATGCATGCTGCCTACTAGTGGATTTTCTTTGCAACCTAATTAAATAAAAATTAGAATTCTAAATTTTAAATGAATTTTCAAATAAATTACCATCCCATATTATGAAGCTGAAATTGTTTATTGCCTATCTAGAGTAGTACTTTAAGGAAAGAAAGAGAATGAGTTGAAGAATGGTGAAGAAATGATGATGAGTGAGCCAATAATGCATAATACACATAGTGCTCTACATAATTTAGGAAAGAAGCATTAAAATTAGCTGGCATCGCCACTTCCCGTATATTCCAATATTGGCATCAATGAAGGTGTTTAATTTGGCATTCAGATTGTATCTATTACCGGCTGTGCCTACACCTTTGCTGGTGTCAGCATTGGCAGCTACTTGGAGAAGCTTTCAGGTGATTACAATCTGGAGGTGACCATTGCCATGGATTTGCGGTCCTCCCTAGCTGTGTGCGAGTATACCAATTCGTTTCTCGATAGTAAGGTTGAAAGATTTGGCTAGGGTTGTGATGGGAACAGAGATGAGGAAAAGGGTGACAATCGGGATGTGGGATTGAGACTGGTTCACCGTTCACCACAAAGCAGATTCAGTATGCTGGGTTGATGCTTCTGCTTCTTTTGCTTCTAGCCATGGTCAGTGGTTTATGTGAAATTTATGAAGAGTCTTAATTCCCTGCTTTTCTATTAGCTACTAAAAGAGAAAAAAAGAGGAAAAATGAAATTAGAAAAGGGAAAACAAGCTCCTTGTCATCTCCACCAGGACATCATTGACTCAATTTTTAGGCCATGTATCTATTAAGCTTCAGAAAACTCCAGTTATCATTAGAGTCTGAGCCTGTGGCCTCTGATGTTTATGTTTCTTCACCATTTTCATGGCTAAGCATGGCCATATGGGGATGATTCCTTTTCTTTTTTTTTTTTTCCTGCTACAGAGACTCCACGTAGTTTGTTGAACTTTTGCTCTTAGTGGATTGTGTTAATTTCTTTGAGGTTTGCTCCATAAAGCTCCATCAGCCTTAAGAGTTTTTCTTCAGCACTCCAGTTAATCTCACATTATTTTATAGCTATTGGATTTACTTTCACCTACCAGGTCATGCTACTATTTGGCAGTTTGACCTATAAAACTAAACTAATGCATACTCAACTGGGAAATAATGCTAGAAGCAAATAAATTATAGCATCAGAAGAGAACGACCAATGCCGTAATGCTTTTGCAATATCTTTTTGCAAATGAAAAATCATATATTCATGTAGGATGCAGAAAAAGAATATTAAAGAAGAATGCAGAATGTAGGCATTGGTTTTTATGTTTCTTTAACAATAACTGATTGCTTTTGTAAATATATGCTGAGTTTTTGCCTACTTGCCAGATCCATGATATAGAAAATTTGTCAAAAATTTCCAGATAATGTCATACAAAGCAGGAAAAACCTGTTTATTGAAGCCAAAACTTTTCCTTAGTATCTAAAACATGAACTTCATACAACTTCTCAGAATGTTAAGGTTTCACATAACATCTAGCAGACTAAATGAAGGCTACCAGTTGTTGGAGATATATAATTTAATTCATGCATAACTACGAAACAACAATTCATTAAATGAAGGAAAATACTGTTCTCTGACAATGAAGTAATTGATAGTCCTATAAAACTAAAAAATAAACACTACTGAGGAGTTGAACTTGAGTTTATGGATTACCTCCGTACATAATGGGACAATGCAGCAGCTCCACATCATATTCAAAACAGCACAACCTCATCCAAATAAGTTAGTTACAGATAGCAAGCTTCCCTGTCCATTCATCAGCAACCCCATAGTCAATACTAAGCTCCCTTAATGGAGGAATATTCTCCATTGCAAAAAGCATAAGGCGAGGGAAGCAGACATTATTGTGATCATAAAGTACAAGCTGCACAAGAACATTGGGACTTGAACTATGGCTCATGTAACAGGCTATATTCCTCATTCGGGATACATCCATTGCAAAATCCAAAGGAGGAATTGACGGATGCGCTGGGCGTACATAGTCATCATATATTTGTGATAAATCTCCCCATTCAGCCCATCTCTCAACAAAACGACTTGGATATACTAAACTATCACCATTCATTTTGAAAATTTGGGCTTGCTCCCTAGTTAGGACAACACCAGCATATTCACAAATAAAGGAGCCAGCTTGGATCAAGTCCAATGATCTAACGCCCCAACCAGTTTCCCTTGACCGAAACACTTCAAACCTCTTTCTGGCACCTTTTTGACTGACTCGATTCCGACAACTCGGAGGACAATGACAATGTGGGCCACATTCAAAAACTACAGGCTTCCCCTTCAACAAGATGCCATTGTGATCATATGCAAACTCTCCCCCATTCCTCATCGCGCAAAAGCAATTATCATTACATCCAGCAATGCATTCACAGCCTGTACCACTCACCACATGCTGATAGACATGTTGAGGGAAAATAGACTTAGGCAGATAATCATAATACACAGGCTCTTGGTCAGTATCTATGTCATTATACAAAAAGACAGGTGTGTTCTCTTTCTTCCTTGATATATCAAGGCTTATATACCCTGTTGGCCTTGCCACCAGTGGCTGCGTCCTGAGAGACTGTGCAAACCTCAAAACAGAACTTCCCATTTCAGGTTGATTCTCAATCCTAGCTACCTTATACTTGAACACAAGAAAGCCAGACTTACCCACAGCAAGCCAAAAATCAATAATTCTATATAAACCATCATAAACATAGACTTTACCACTAGCACTGCCCGCATATTTAAAGCCACGAATCACCCTAACCTCAATTCCATAGTGCATGCTTCTCTCCAATGCCAAATTCCCACCTTCGAGTTTCTGGTTAGTACACTGCTTCGAGAACTTGTCCTGTCCACCATGCCCTGTATAGATTAGCACATCCCCTGCATCCTCATCATCCTCATACCCCCCAGAAACTATGATGCTAGTAGCAATTGGCTCCCCATTTGAGCTCTGGCTAGCGGGAACATAGTCAATTCCAGCCTGAGGCTGCCCATGCAACCCAACCACGCACAATTCCATCCGGAAAAAGAACAAGTCACCAATGAGCACTCCTGGTATGTCGCCCACAATACGCTTATCACGATTTAACCACAGCCCTTTCTCCCTCATCAGCTGCGAGGCCTTCAAGTCCCCTCTGGGTTTCTTGTGACGCTCGAATTGCTGGTTGGTAATGGGATCATCCTTCTCCCTTATCAGCTGCGAGGCCTCCATTTCTCCTATAGATTTTCGTTGGTCAAACTGATGTTTTCTCTCATCCTCCGGGATCGCCTGAACGCGGATAGAATCATAAAGCATTCGGGTCCTCCGTACCACATCCCGGAAATACCTTTGATCCTCAGGCTTAAGATCCGTAACTCTGACCAGCTCAGAAGACCTCTGCTGATACTTCTTCCTCGAAATTACCAAACTTGAGGATTGAGCATCGCTATTTACCGGCACGATAGCTCTCGAATTATCAGGATCCTCCATAGCACCCACATCCCCGTATCCCTGCATCCTCTTAGCAAAAGCAGCACGAAACATCTCAGAAATTCGATAGAATTCTGAATACACATTGGCCTCGTTTGAGTTTTGCAAGCTGTCACTAGCATTAGCCTCCTGTGTGCTGCGAGAACCGAAACCGGAACTCGAACCCGCTTTGTCACTGGAGCCAGTGGGGCTAGGGTTTGAAAAAACCGGCGAGGTTTGGAGGTCGGCTTGGGTGAATTCATCAAGCGGCTCCAGTTTCGGTTCGATCATCGGGACACCGTTTGCGGCGGCGGTGGAGTTGGAGAGTCCGAGTTGGAGAAATGGAACCAAAGATCCCATTTTCACACACTATCCTCCTTTTTTTTTTCCCTTCCTTATATTACTGTACAGAGAGAGATAGAAGAGGTGTTATACAGAGAGATTTGGGAGTAGGAGATTCATGAAAATGGGTAGAGAGAGCTAGTGCAGAGAGCTTGGAGAGAGGGTTTTCATGGAGGTGCAGCTATGGATGGACACGTGTGAAAGAAGTTGTTGGTTTTGACGTTGTTGGTGATGGTTTCGGTTGGGGGGGTCGGAGCAGAGGAGAGAGTGAGAGCTGACACAAATTTAATCCGTATTAACTTACCAAGTAGTGTAAACTACTAAACTCCCAACCATACTTGGTAATTAACTAGTGTAAACTCCCAACCATACTTGGTAACATTTTATATTTTTATTTAATCTTAATACATAAAATTTAGAGTTAATCAAAGAATTGGTCCCAATTATTAGCGAATTGTCAATGTAGTCCCTTAATCGCTTATTCATCGATTTAGTCCCCGACAATAATTGTTTTTAGTCGATTTATCCCCTCCGACCGTATTCCGTCAATCAGCCGATGAAAGCTCCGATTAACCATGGGCAATTTGGTCTTTTCAATTATATTTGGAACCAAATCACCCCAGCCTGTCATTCTCTTCTCTATTCTATCACCCAGTCTTCTCTCGCCGCTCGCCTTGTCTTCCCCCTCCATCATCTTCGTCGGTCCAAGATGTCAAGCGCCACGTTCCCCTTCTTCGTACAGTATAGCTCAGGTATTTTCTCTACTTTATCCTCATCATCTACGGCAAGCTCTCTCTCTTGTGTTTGTATAGCAACAACACAGCGCCATCGTCGCCATTCCTCCACCGTCGGTGTACTCTCTCCTTCGTACAACACATAGCAGCAGCAAGCTCCGGCTATTAGCAGCGTCTGGTCAGCAAGATATGGTTGCGACAAAAAATTCGGCCAGCAAATATGTGACAGTGACGTACTGGGCGAGCAAGAATCTAGCAAAAAATGTGTTTCTTGCATGTATAATTTGTAATAATCTTAATTTGTGCCTTTAATTTCTGAAAAAAGGGGCGTTAGGATATTCTTGCTCACATCCTGTTTGTAAAAATGTGTCTATGAGTGCAAATGAGAATGCTAACCAGCAAATCTGGTGACTGTGGTTTTCCGGTGAGCAGACAACAGTTTGGCGGCTAAGCAGCGACGGTCTTCCTCGGGTCTATTTTTTCGGCGGTGAGCTCCTTTCGACAAGCTCGAGCTTCTCCAGCGAACCAACACGCGACGGTGATAGATGGACTTGGCTCCATTTTTCTCGGCGATGAGCGAGCTCCGACGACCTGTTCTAGCGGCAGACGACGACGTACATTTTCCGGCGAAGCTTGGTCAGAGAGGATGAAGAAGATGGCGTGAAATAGTGAGGTGAGGTGAGATGAAGTGAAAAAACCAAATTGCCCATGGTAAATCGGAGCTATCGTTGACTTGTTGACGGACTACGGTCGGAGGGACTAAATCAACTAAAAACAATTAGTTTCGGGGACCAAATCGATGAATAAGCGATTGAGGGACTACATTGACAGTTCGCTAATAATTGAGAAGTCAAATCGTTGATTAACTCTAAAATTTATTATATTTATAAAATTAATAATCATATTGATATATCAATTCTTATACCGTGGATCATGGTCTACAGTGCATATCGTGGACCAGGTCCATAGTTGGACCCTGTGTACGACGTCGTTTTTGATGTATTTTTTACAGTAACAGTTTAATTGTTCAATTCACCTTATAGCTTTTTTTAAAAAAATTATAAAGCATGTTATGTGTTTTGTGTTGTGAATTTTTGTGTCTTGTATTATGAAATTCTGTACTTTAAGAGTATCAATTCTATACTCAAAACAAATTAGTAGTTGTGTAACACAACATATCGTGTGTCTTATGTTATGAATTTTTGAAATAATTTTAAACTTTTTCAATAAATGCAATAAATTTTAATTTAAATTTAAATTATGAATATATATATATATATATATATATATATATATATATATATATATATATATATATATATATATATATATATATATATATATATATATATATATATATGTATGTATATATGTATGTATGTATGTATGTATGAGTATGATAAGAATTTATATAAGTATTTTAAGTCTTTTAGAATTCAAATATGATCATAAATATTATAAAGAAAAAAAAAGAAAAACCTTTGAAAAAATTAGGGAAAAGGGTCAAATAGGCCCTCGAACTTTAGTTTAAAAGTCAATTAGACCCCTAAATTTTTTAAAGGTGCAATTACACCCATCAACAATTCATTTAAGTGCAATGAAGTCCAAAAACAAATTAATGACCTGCTATCACAGGTCATTAGGGTTCAGACCACCTTCTGGCAAAAAAAAAAAAAAAAAAAAAAAAAAAGTGACCGGTGACCGACCAGCGAAATTTCCGGTAAAAAAGAGTGACCGGTGATCGACGAATGGTCGGCACCGATCACTTTTTTGCTGGAAATTTCGCCGGTCACTTTTTTTTTGCCGGAAATTTCGCCGAACGGTGGCCTGAACCCTAATGACGTGTGATAGCAGGTCATTAACTTATTTTTGGGCTTCATTACTACCTAAATAAATTATTGATAGGTATAATTGCACCTTTAAAAAGTTTAGGGTCCTAATTGACTTTTAAATTAAAGTTCGAGGACCTATTTGACTCTTTTCCCAAAAAAATAAATAATAGAAACTTATAGAAATAGAGTAAATTCATTTAACTTTGATAGTTTAATTCAGAGTTCTTGTTCTTTCATCGTTTTCCATTCATGTGGGTCCTTAGTATCTTATTTATTTATTTGCTTAATATAACTCTAATTCTATATGTTTAAATTTTTTTAAAAATATATACACAAGTAATAACAAATAAAATATTGGTGGTGCCAATTAACCCCTCTGAAAATAATATAACTCAGCCTCCGGATATATAATGGGTACGGATGAAATATTATCAATAATGGGATAATCAAAGAAGATGAAATGCAATAAAATAGGAACATTATGTGGCTTGATATTAGGGGGAGTTAAATAATGTTGAAAAAAATGCTTTGTATTCTGTAATATTTTGAGATACAATAAAAATATAGAAAAAAATAAGGAAACAAACTGAATTATTTATATCTTCAAACGTGTACTTTCCCTTGTATAAGTCTTTAATCTCTTCCTTTACAAGCCACAAATCGAAATACCTGAAAATGTACTCTTACTCTTTTCCTATAAGTTTTTTTTTTTTTTTTTTCTTCAGATTTGTTCTTACATCAACATTAATTTTAACAATTATTTGAGGTGAGGGACGAAAATGACCACTACATGAATAATTTATTAGGGACTAAATAGAGTCATTCTTTTAATTAAAGGACCGAGTTTACCTTTATGACACAATTGAGGGACTACAAAAATCTATTTTCCCTATAACACGTATGAAATGATCTCACACAAAACATACTCTTATTATTATGAATTTTTGTATTTATCCATAATATTGGGTAATGAGTAAAATCATGTATAGTAAATTGGTTATATCGAGTATTATGGTGTTAATAGTATCTAATAGAACAAACAATAGTATACATATTTATAACTTGGTTGGCGTGAGTGACCGTTCACTATTATCCCTTAAGAGAGGTCGGGAGTTTGAACTCCCTCTTGTATGGAAAAACCAATTTGACCAGCACTTTGCCCCTTAATTGGGTCGGCCCGGTGCGAACGGGGATTAATCTCTTATTCAGTTATTCCTTAAGAGAGGTCGGGAGTTCGAACCCCCTCCTCGTAAGAAAAAATCAATATGGCAAGCACTTCGCCCCTTAATTGGGCCGGCCCGGTGCGAACGGGGATTAGTCTGAGTTGCCCATTAATTAGCCCGGCTCAGTGCGAAGGGGGATTAGTTTGAGTATCGTACGGGCTTAAAGGTGTCTCCTACAGTTAGAGCTTGCTCAGGACACCTAAAAAAAATAGTATACATGTTTGTACATGATTTTTTTTTTTTTTGGGCGATAAGTGAAACCCATATCAACTATTCAAAGGTATACAATGTGTAAACCCTTCTCTCAGGTAATAAGTTACAAAATACACAGAAATTGTAAATTGCATTAAGAAGACCCTATATGATGGGCTCAACTTAGAGAATTGTACACAATATTTTTAACTCACCACACAAAATTCCTTTTTATTATTATATCGTACGATATTTACATGTGATGAAAAATATATTTGGTGTGTGGATTTGGTAGGAATTGATACACGAATCTTGGAGTAGAGTCATGGAGGACAGAGTGGTGTTGCATGAGGTGATGAGGGAAAAGGTTGTTGTACTGTATAATGTGAGACTGTATAAGATGTTAGGAAATTAATGTTTCTTACCCTCTTTTATATGAAAAATATACTCCGTATAAAGGAGATGAAAAATAAATAAAGGATTATTTTGTGCGATATGAAGTATCTAATACTTTTAACGCAAATTTAATATTTTTTTTTTTACAAATTAACAAATACGGAGTATTATATTTTGATTAAAAATAAGTATTATATTTTTATTAATACTTTAAAAAAACAAGTAATATTTTTCAAAAAAAAAAAAAAAAAGTACTCCGTAATATTTTTTTTTTTTTTTTTTTTTGTTGAAATAGAATACTTGTTTTAAGTTTTAACTCATAAAAAAGTAAGGTAATTTCCCTTAAAAAGAAAATTTACATTCACGTTAAAAGGGCAAATTTTACTGTGGACAATGGTCCATGAAGTAAGTATAATTCTAATGACATTTTAGTTTAATTGGACAATATTGTTCTGTTTTTCAGTTTCATTTTTTACACACACTAGTTTACCAATCGTTATACCCTGCACCACGGCGTACAGTGCACTGAGCGTCCCGCGCCTCCCAAACTGATGTCGTTTTGGGAGGCGCGCTAGGAAGTTGACATTTTTTTTTTTTTGAAAAACCAATCCGCCGATTGTATTAATTAATGAAAGCTATAATAGCGTCAGGAGGGATAGACTCCCAATACATAGAATGTTCCTGAGTAAAAGCTAACGAAGCTAAAGTATGAGCATGTAAATTAATCTGTCTAGGCACATAGCTTAACGAAATTAAATTAAATAAAGACATCATTGTCTTGCACTGGTCAATTACCAACCCAGCATACGAGTGAATGGTTGTAGTCTGGTGGTGTATGGTATTTCGCAGCACCATACAATCCGTGAGCAGATTGGCCGAATTGATATTTCTTTCAACT